CTGTCCTGGCAGAGCTGCTCGACATTGCTGCATGGCATGGCAAGCTGTAGTCGACTGTCAAGCCGTTCAACCTTAAATGTGAGTTGCACCAAGAACTCAGGTATGTTATAATTTGCACTTACACGGGTACCAGGTTAAGATTTCAGCCTTGCATGTCACATTGGCCAGTTCACACGCAGAATCGCGGCACACCCCAGAGTTTCGGGTCCTCGGTCGTATTGTACGTCAATTTGGTTCAGGGCGAGGGTGGCGTACAGCTGCTGAGGATGTCGCTCTCACACTCCATCACTGCGACCATCCATTGCTGTACTCGCCGGTATGCAGAGAGCTTGCCATGCACCTTCATGCATCTTCAAGCACCTCCACATCGCAGATTTCGCGACACTTGGAGCTGACAGACACGGCGAGTTCGCGCCGCTGTCATGGCCGTCTCAGGTAGCGCCGGTTCACCGGCAAGGGCTACCCGCGAACCCCCGCCAGCTCAACAGAGACGTGTGCTTCGTTATCCAAGGGCCTGCCTCGCGTCTCAAGCACAAGGAAACCTTGGGACACCAGGTTGCCGAGCACTTCGCAGTATTTGCATGCTCGTGCTATGCTACAATACCTCAACGTGCCACACACACACACAGCAGGAGAAGCCGCATACTGCAATACGAGAACTTAAGGAGGCACAGCGAAAAACTAGCAAACCAAATTCGTCGTCAGCATCCGCCCATTCTGCAGTTGAAAACGGCAGAAATGTGCAGGCTCCCACAACTCTCGACAAGGCGAGAAACTCGAGGCCACGGCACCTGCACTCATCAGGGCGGACATGAACTTAAAGAGCTAAGGAATTATCCTCACAAGGCCTCTCACAAGACTAAAGGAACAGCAATGCAGTGCAAGCTACACTCGCTACGCTCGCGGGTTTTTTTGACTGCTCCCACCTAGCAGTGACAGCAGCACCAAGCCTGGCAGCTGGCAGGATAAGGGCATGCTAAAACGTTGAGGGAGCATGCCTCTACGTCCGACCGTATCTGCCCTGACTCCAGGAGAAACGCCCTGTACCTTAACGAGCATTGGCTGAACAAACTTGCCGGCAGTTCTCAGCAGGAAGGGCAGAGCACTCCGGTGCAACTGGTAGCCAATGCCATACACAGCCGGGGCCTCACAAGGATAAACAGCGAATTCCCCCCAATACACACGACAGAAGCGACCAAAACAGCAAAAAATGAACAAAAATTAGGAGTGCTACTGATGCTGTCCAGGTGCTGCAATGGAACCAAGTCTCCCAATGCCCATGCAAAGGCCCACCCCAGAGGCTCGCACGGAAACCTGGGATCACGCTGTCTGTGCTGGATGCGTCGTGTCTCGGATTCTGGCACCTTATGAAATGCAACTACAACCTGATGCGACATAACCCCTCCCCCTAGACACGAGGTCAGGTCTAGCCACCGGCAGAGCCTCGGAAATGTACAGCAAGAGAAACGTGAACATGATGCTGACAACAGCCTGCCACAAGGAGAAGCGCTGATGATTTTTAAGGACTTTTCGGGGCGGTAGAGCTTGGGGTTGAGGGTTTGTAGGGTTTGGGGCTTGGAATGTAGGGTCTAGGGATGAGCTAAGCGGACGGGGCACGCTTGAAATGGAAACAGCGTTGACAATCTGGCCTCGAATGTCCTCTCTCTAGCAACTGACCGTTCTCGCAATTCGCCACATGACTCGCCATGACAATCCTGCCTTCAACGCATAAGCAGCAGGATCCGCCACATAGAAAGCACCCCACACGGTACCTGATCAGGTGCTCATCTCATTACTGTCTTAAGTGCGCAGCACAGACCTTTTCTGCACTGCGTCTGCGAGTATCCCAGTGCATGAACGTCCACCGGTTTTCGGCGGCGAAAGGGTGGGAGAGGCGGGAGAGCTTGAAACCAAACACGACATACACATCAACTCGCACCTATGCTGTCAGGTGCTCATCTCATTACTGTCTTAAGTGCGCAGCACAGACCTTTTCTGCACTGCGTCTGCGAGTATCCCAGTGCATGAACGTCCACCGGTTTTCTCCAACCCCACATCTTTCCACCTCATATCATTCAAGCTCAGCCAGCCGAAAACTGACCAAACCAAGCAGAGGTCGGATATTGCATTGACTGCAAAACAAAAGCCTTCTCGAGGATGATGGCGAAGGAGCGAACTAAAGAGAGAACTCGAGCCTGTGCCGCAGGTCGAAGCAGATGCACGAACTGAACTGCCGTGATCTCCTGGACGTATATCTCCATCGTTCTGCTACTTAGCCACCGTCCACGCCTTCTTAATAACTCTGCGTCCTCCGCGACATGGAACAACCATGTCGCGCCTCCCGCGCGCAACGAGCCCAAATCCAGACAACGTTTTCCTTGGAACTGCCAGACATTGGCACCCAGCCTCTGCACTAAGACATTAAAGCGGCTCCGCAAAGTAGAAGCTGACATTGGCCAGAGCTTCTGGTCGAACTTCAGGTGTGCGAATGCAAGCTCAACGACTTGCAGCAGTTCGGGCTGGTCCAACTTAGCACTTTGGTGCCTAGCAGCACGATAACGGGTCTTGGGTTCTTGAATGCTCAGTAGTGCAAAGGTTGTAGTGTGCGCAACGTCACTCGGCAGGACAATGTCGCGGCGGTAAGCTGACAGCGCCTCCCCAATCCTCAATATGCCACCCCAGCAGAGAGCTAGGACGCCTGCGACTCGGGGCCAGCCCCACATGAGGGCAAGCCCAGTCATGGCCAAAAGCAACTGCCAGGGAAGGGCAACGTGATGGGAATGGGGCTCTTCTCTGAGCCAGGCAAACGCCAAATCCCAAGCAGGCTGCAGGGCGCGTCGAAGAAGAGGCTCCTTGTTGGCGACAGCGTTTATGACTTCACTGTAATGGGAATAAGGCCAACCGGCCTCAAAAAGCTGTCGCCCATACTGCACCAGGAGCCTATTCAGCAGCCTAGTTGAAGGGGCCTCAAGTGAGAGAAGCTCGTCCAAACACTTGCCCTGCTGAAGAAGCCAGCCGGAAAAATTTTCCAGTAGGTGGTCTCTGCGCTTCTGAGTGACGGGCTCCACCGGCCGTCCTACAGGCAATGTCAGGGAAGATCTAGCCTGTGCACGCTGAGCGTCAGCAAGGTTTCGCGGCCGCAGGGCGCCATGGCTATAACCTACCTGCCCGAAAAGCCAAAGACCCTGAAAGAGAAGAACACACCCAAACCAAAAAGGCCCCTCACCAGGGAAACCCCGAGTGGAGTCGAAGAGCGTGAGGTCCTGTGGAAGGAACGCCAGGCAAGGTGTGGACGGAAGGAAGGGGCGGTGCGACTAACAAGCAAGAAGAGCCTGACCCAGTTGGCTGCCCAACGCCTCAACCTGGGCATAGCAAGGGCTTCAAACAGCTCATCCCGAGGAAGGTCCTGCCAAAATGAGCTGGCACTTGGCAACGGCATGGCGTAGTCCCTAGTCGGGCAGTCAGCAGGGTTGAGGCGAGTCGGCACGAAATGGAAAGCTGGAAACAAGCCGGCTGTGATGCAAGTGGCTGCAATTCGGCGGAGGATTGGGCGGAGGCCCCGTGACGGGCTGCGCCCCTTGGAGGATGCATGGAATGCAACGGCGGAGTCAACCAGAATCACGAGCCTGCGAGGCCCTTTTGCAGCAAGATGTTTGAGAAGGCGTAAAATGGCAGCGGTCTCCAGGATGTTGATGTGAGCAGGGCTTCTCCAAACCCACGCTTTGCCTTGCTGCCATTCCAGAGAGAGGACAACATCATTGACCAAAGGATTTTCAAGACCTTCGGCCTGCATGCAAGCAATAGAGGCGCAATGCCTTTCGCGACGCAGCGCTTGGTCGATCTCGTGGGCGAGAGCTTTCGCAAGCAACGGTGTGTACCTTGCCGAGCCTTTTGCCTTGCCACCTTGTACCTGAACATGGGGATGATCTCGGGCGCACGGCTTGCAGAACCCAGTGAGGTCAATGCCAACGGCTAAGAAACGAAGTTCCCTTCGAGAAGGACTGCCATAGGCACAAGAGGAGGTGATGAACTCCCGAGCACCAAGGTAAAGAAGGCGCCTCCACTCCGCAAGCCAAGCCAGTTTCGAAAGCCTGGGTTGCTCAAGGAGACCTATGACTCCACATGTCAAGGCAACGAACATGAGGCACAGAGCACGGAGAGCGAGAGTTGTACCAGCAAGCGTTCGCTTCTCAGTGGGGACATACCCTCTTGGCTCTTCATAGCTGCGGAAAGCAGGGTACGCCGCACAGCTGAAGGTGGCGCAGGGCGGCGTGATGAGGAAGCTCTTCAGTCGGCCTTTCTGAATGAGATGTATGAGCCACTCAAGGACCCGGAGCCAAGTCAGGTCAAAAGCGGGGCTATGGGAAAGGTCAAGAACCGGACCCGTACGCCTACCTAACAAACCCATAAAGTGAGTGACCCTGCCGGAGCCTCCGCAAATTTCAATGAACTCAAACGGTCGGTGAAGCGGGAAAGAACAGCCTCTTCCTTCGAGAGCAACCTGCTGTAGCCCCCTTTCTTAGAAGCCATGCGCCAGAGGGGCCTAGTCACGGTTTCTCCTGCATTGGAAGTGACAAAGGCGCCTTTTTTCTCGGAGGCATCCGAGGCATACAGGGTTGAGTCCATCACTGCAGCGAGGTCGGTGGATGCAAGGGGACAAAGGACACTGAGCACGGTCAACTCTTCAGCAACGGTCCTGGGCAGCTGCACCAAGACAGGTCTCCTCACGTCAGTCTCAGAAGCGTTGACGAGGCTGAAAGCTGAAGCCAGAACAGCCATAAGGGGGCGACGGAACAACAGAACCGAAGTCCAACTCCCAAGCAAAGACAAGTGAAGGCAGTCAGTGGTGTGGCTTAGGCGGGCGACCTCGGCGGAAACAATGGCCAGCGCAATTCGCTTTGGGCTGGGTGCACCCCATGGGACAAGACCCCTTGCGCGAGCATACGGAGTAGAGTTAAGCTCGGCTCCGGCAATTTTCGCAAAGTCGGTGCCCTTTATGTCCTTTTCATCGGACCCCAACAATCCTTTCTGCAGATAAGTGTCTTTGGCCGTGCGAAGGTGATCCAGGCAAGCAGGCTGGGACGCGGACTTGAGGTCATGAACACAAACAGAGAAGAAATCGTCTATTACAAGACCCTGCGCCTCGGTGACGCCTTTAAAAGGCCTGTTTGAGCATAAGCGACTGGATTCGCCCAAAAGGCCGGCGTCTTCGAGCAGACCCGTATGAGCGCAACATGCTATTTCAACACCGAGTTGATCTCCCTGGGCGATGCTCTTGAAGCAAACCAGGAGACGGTCGCGTTCGAAGAGCAGGGGAGCACGGTCGTCGGTGAAGGGCACATCTGAAAGGCAATCACCTCTGGCCTCCCTCGAAAACTTTCCTCCCTTGGAGGCAGCTTGGTACTGACGAAAGGCCCTCGTGGAGGTGAGCCAGGAAGAAGGAAGAGCCGGGCCAACGGCGTTGCAGACCGCTTTGGGGGGTCCGACAGCAATCTGGTGCTAGAAGTCTTTTCTGTCAGTGGCAGCGCAGAGGACTGACTGCGTCTTTGGGTTCACCTCAAGCATGCCCAGCATGGGCCCTACCGGGATGTACAAGCTAGGTCCCGAAAGCCTGCACTCAGCAAGGTTTTGTCCTCGGCGGTCCATGATTTGACGGTCCCTTCCGGCATCCTTATAACAGTTAAACACGCGGGATAGCCTATAGCTATGTGAGGCCGGGGTCATGGCCGGAGCGAGATGCAGCAAGCCCTGCTCATCCCACATGTGGGCTAGAGCACGCGTCTCGGCGGGGCTCTCACGGGTCCAGACAGGGACAAAGTCATCCGGGGGAGGCATGCTGTGCAGAAGGGACTTTGGTTCGGCCCAAGCCATGAAGAGCTCATCATCAAGATGGGGGGACGGATCCCAAAGACCCCGTCCTGAGAGTTTGAGCCGTGCGACATCGAGCGTCCTGTAAGGCTCAAGGGAAGGCAGCACATCATTGCGGGGTGGAACAACAGTACCCGAAGCATCGGCATAAGTGTCTCCACCGACCACCTGAGAGGCGGTCAAGAAAGCAGAAAGCTCGGAGAGGCGTGCAATTAATTGGGGATTGCGGCGGCCGGAGTCAGCAAGCACAAAGTCTTCGACAGAGGCACCGAAAGCCTTCAAATGCCTACCCACATGCGCGACCAGGCATCGCTGTGCAGCAGTAGGGTGGCGCTGGAGAGCAGGGGCAGGGATTGGCACAAAGTTGGCATGAAGATAGTTGAGGGCCATGCAAACAATGTGCAGGAGACGCCTGTGCATGATGCGTCTTCTAAAGCGAGACCCCTTTTCAAACGAGAAGCGTTCAAAAGCTCCTGGGTATGGCACAGGGAGTGGGAAGACGGAATCACTCCCACTCCGTGAAGGCTGTGTAGGCTTGTCAAGCCTAGGCAAGTGCAGAGTAGACTTAAGAAAAGAAGAAAACTGGGTCCTGGTGCGCAGGACGGCTCTTGTGAGGCCACCGACCCAAGTGGCGAATGAGACCTGGGTCTCGAAGCCCAAGCTCCGGGGCTCTTTATTTTTCACGGCGTCAGTCTTTGACAGGCCGGGAGGCGGACCAAAACAAGCCGGCGCCTTCCCTACTGAGTGGTATGCTGGCTTGGAAACAGCCCTCAGGGCGGCAGACACCTGCTCAGAACAGGAGACGACAGGACTATCCCTGGCAACCCCTAAACCTGATGAAACCACATGTGCATTGACAGGCGGTGAACTCACGCCGGGAGCCTCAAGCAAGGACCTACAAGAACTATCAACCCGGACAGCCCCTAAACCTGAGGAGGCCATGGAGGCTGCATCCGGAAGCAGGCTTGCAAGTCTCACTTGGACAGGTCGGCCTTGGGTTTCCGAGGATATCTGGGAGGCCGTTTGGGCTTGTTCTGGTCCGCTGGGGCAATCTCGGACGAAGCAGGCTGATGGAGCTGAGGCGGGTGTTGGGATCCTCTTGGCGCATTCCCCAGTGTCTCCAGGCGTCTGGCGGTGATCAAATCGACCTCTTTCAGATACTGGAGTGCACAAGTCGTCCATGCCACAGGGGACAGCGGTGAGAATGCCCTTGTGCGAGGATTGGCCACGGTGCCTCTCCCATGGAAGAGTTGGGGCGGCGGCTCTTCTAGTAAGGTGAGCAGCCACGCGAAGTCCCATCGCCCGCCGTCTATGGATGACTGATCCATAGCGACAAAAGTGAGTGCAAGGAACTCTTGGGCTCCCTGGTAGTCTTGCTGGATCATCGCGTCCATGACGTGCGCAAGGCACCACATTGCGTAGCCTTGTTCCCTCTGCCCGGCGAATCCCCCATATCTTTCTAGGTACTGACACATAAGCGCCGATTCGGTGAAGGCATCTAGTGAGGCAGGACATGGCGTCGCAGGGTGCAATCTTTTGTGCGCAGCTTGCACTACCTGTAGGAAGAACTCCCCTGAACGGGTCGAGAGGGCATTCTGAAGCTTCTCTCTTTTTGCAGCCCCCTTTGCCCCGATAGCGCTTGACGCTGAAGTCGCAAGGTCGCCCAGGCCCCCCTCCTGCTGAGCCACGAGGTGCCCTACTAGAGCAGACAAAGCCTGAGACTGTTGCAGAACCGCGGCCTGGAAAACGTCGGAAGGCTCCGGTGCTGGCGGGAGATCTTGGCCCAAAGATGCGGAGGCAGCCTGTTGACCTGAGCAGGCCTGGGCCTCGGGTCTCACGCGAGGAGGGGGGCCAATCAGCTGAGCCTGCTTTGCCAGAGGTAGACCCGGCCCTTTTGGCAATGCTCCCAAAAAGGACTGCTGGTGGGCTGGAGTGAGCCCTGGCGGGGACGCCTGAGGAGCTGCCTCCAGCGCATCTTGTCTCTTGCGGAGTTCTGCCAGTTGTCCAGCAAGTTGAGGCAGGACTTTGGAAAGATCCGACAACTGGGCAGCTAGCTCGGCGTTTGTGACCTTGCGCTTGGCTGCAGCCGCCTTCTTCGCCTTCGCCTTGGGAAGAACCTCCTCCGCCACCACAGCCGGCTCCTCCAAAGCAGAGTAGAAGGCCGCCCTGTTTGCGGTCGTCTCTGTCAGCCACTGGTGGGCTGCGGCAAGGAGCTCGTCCGACAGGGGCATGGCCTCGGGCTGACCTATCACGAAAGGGAACAGCTCCTCGCTGCCGAGATCTTCCGCGGCCTCCCTGAGCAGAGGCAACACACCCAGCGACAGGTCCAACAAGACCACCGGACCCTCCGTGTCTAAGGGAACCTCTAAACCTTGCTCGTCCAACACCCCGAAAGGAACGCGCAGCTGCTGGTAGGGACCAACCAACGCATGAGGGTCCGACTCCTCGCCGCCTTCGAGGGCAGACAGAGCCAGGAAGCCAGAAGGAATTGCAAGGAGGAGGCCTCCCTGCCGCTTCATGACAGGGATGGCCGGTGCTTCTGCAAGAGGAGCTGTCCTCTCCTCCTGCTCCCAAGTGAGTGCCAACGAGGAAGGAGCCCCATCGGCCAGGAACTCGATGTTGGCAAACTCCATTATTGCTCCGAGTCGGGCAAGTCAAAGCCTGCAGCTTCACAGTAAATGGCAGCTTCTGCGATGGATGCAAAGGCGTGGCACAGTGCGTCACTGCCTGAAAGGGGTCCGACAAGCTTATGGAAGTCTTTGGCTGTGGAGCAACGAAGAGGCTTGACAAGGCCGTTTGCCCGAATGACCACGTAGATGCGAGACCGGATGGTTGAAGGAAGGCGTGAAGAGGGGCGGGGCTTCGGAACCCTGTCCTCAAGCACCGCACGGACCCACTGTCCTGCTTTCCAGGCACGGGTGGCTCTTTCTGTAGAGCTGGACCCTGAACCAGAAAGGGACCTGCAGGCTTGCACACAGCGATGAGGCACAGTAGGGAAAGCAGCCTCAAGTTCGTCGTAGCGAGCGCTGAGGGCCGATGCAGACAAAGAGGAGTGATGCAGTGACGCGGGTTCGGAGGCCACACGGGAACCAGGCTCTCCGGGGCTAGGGCCTACTACCTCCACCCAACTAGCAACCGAACCTCTAGGGCTGGAGGTGTCGGGGTGGGTTTGTGCTGCAGGTGCAGTCGATACGGACAGCTGCTCAAGTGCCTCGGCCAAATGGTGAATCGATGCGGCCAGATCAGCAGGATCACTCATGCAAGTACCCTCTAAGCCTAAGGGATGGGGGCCTAGGAACCCTAGGGGTACTAAGGGTTTCAGGCGCAGGCTGGAAGGGCACAGGCTCGCACGGAAGTCGGACGAAAAGGGCCTCTCGGAAGAGAAGGAGGGTGGCGAGCACGCCAAATGTGAAGCCGACGCAAAGGCACAAGACAAGGAGAAGGAGAGATCCCTGGCAATGGGAAGGACAACCCAAACCCCACCAGTTGGTGGCAACTCCAGAATGAACCAGATCAACCAACTGGGGCAACCACATCAAGAGCTTGAAACCAAACACGACATACACATCAACTCGCACCTATGCTGTCAGTTGTCTGTGGATGCTGAGGGCTGCTGGCAATGGCATGCGGCAAAGCGCTACCTGGCAGCTCCCTCACATCTTACTTGACAGCACAAATTGCTGGCGACTCAGCAAGGAAACAAGGCCCCTCTTCCCCCAGAGCAGGCGCACTTGTGAGCGCGGCGCTGAAAAAGGCTGATCCAAGACAGAGCCACTGCAAGGTCGGGATTCGGCCTGAGCTGTTCCGGCAGGATCTAGGCACAGGTCTGGGTAGCCGGGCCTTGGGCCCTTGGGTTTCTCAGCCGAGGCCTCACGGCTGTTTAGGGGTCGGGCTCCTGAAGTCTCCTTTACGGCTGAGGGCTTCGCGCCAGCGTTTCGTCTTGAAAGCTTTGAGGGAGTTCGCGGCTCAAGCGTTTGCATGTGACCTGCGACCCTACAAGTAGGATGTCAAGTCTCAGACTGCAGGTCAGCTCCCGAAAGTTATGTCCTTTTGGGTCCCAATAAAGAGACCCATGTGATACTTAGGGCACCCAACCTAGTCAAGAGGGTGGTACCTTTGGCCCCCCTTTCACTCACAACAAGCATGCTGAGGGCGAGGCCCAGAGTCGGATGCAACCTTTTGCCAGGGTTGCTTTTTGGAGCGACAATCCACTGACGCAACTGACGCAACCATCTTGCAACATGTCAGAATGGTCTAGTTCAGGCCACGCTGCAGCAGCAGCCACGCGAGCAGGATGCCGACACATTCCGCGCATGAGACGATCAGCATCTCCATTGCCGGGCTGGTCCAGTCACCCTCCATCTCAGTGAAAATCCTCTGGTTTATGATGCTGCATGCTGTCGCGAAATTGGGTACAGATGCTTCTACCAGTAGAACTGTTGACCCAAGGGCTGTTTATGGCTCCAGGGCTGTAAGGGTTAGGGCCGAGAGGGTGGCGAGGGGATCTGTGCAACCAGGCAGCTGCGTAAACGCCTTGGGACTGCAGAGGAGAGTTGCCATCGAAAGCATGGTCACTACGTCTTGCCGCGTCAGCCTGCTCAATACAAGCCATGAAGCGAAGGTAGTGCCGTAAAACAGGTAGTTCATCAGAAAGGCCAGGTATGATGCCAGCACCAGTGTCCTGCAATCCCCGAATGCACTACACACTTGGGTCGATGGATCTCTGCTATGAAGGTCCAGAGAACTTTTGGCGCATTTCCTGCAGTGGCCACCATGGACAATGGTGTGCCAAGTGGATGTCAACGTCTTGGATGAGGCAGAGCATGTCTGCTGGACCTCTTCAATTTGCGCGTTTGTCTCGCAAGCTCTGAGACTGAAGCTGGGAGATTTCACGTCTCAAGGATTTGTTTGTGCTAGATTTGCTAGGTGCAACCTGTGCAATTCCAAAGTGCTGTGCAGCCTGAACCGAGCTGAGCGATCCATTGCTCAGCTTTTTTGATCACAATTCTGCAGCGCAGCTGCCTCAATGTCGACGTCATCTTTTCCATGAAGGCGCTGCATCCTGGCCTCAGTGTGACGGGAAACTGAAGTGACCTCACGAGACCGGTTGATCGACCACGTGTCGCATGGCTCCACGATTCTAAACTCAACGGAAACAGGTGCACATGGCCTACACTGTCTCGTACACGATCTGCACGACCGGAACCGAACCCTTCCATTCTTGACGTGCATCATCGACATACATACATACATACATACACATACATACACATACATACACATACATACACATACATACACATACATACACATACATACACATACATACACATACATACACATACATACACATACATACACATACATACACATACATACACGTACATACACATAAATACACATACATACACACACATTACATGATACATACAACATACACATACATACACATTTACACACACTACAACATACATACATATACATACACATACACATATACCTACATATATACAATTACATACTATACATATACATATACATACCATATATACATATACATACATATACAGATACATACATATTACATATACATTACATATTCATATACATATACATTATACATACATATACATACATAATAGATACATGTACATACATATACATAATACATATGACATACATATACATACATATTACATACATATACATTATAGATACATATAGATACATATACATTACATATACATATACATACATATACATACATATACATACATATAGATACATATAGATACATATACATACATATATACATACATATACATACATATACATACATATACATAATATACATACATTATACATACAATATACATACATATACATACATATACATACATATACATACATATACATACATATACATACATATAGATACATATAGATACATATACATACATATACATACATATACATACATATACATACATATACATACATATACATACATATACATACATATACATACATATACATACATATACATACATATACATACATATACATACATAAACATACATACACACATGCACACATACATCCCTCCCTCACTCCCTGCCTCCATCCACGCATGCACGCACGCATTTATACACACGCACACATACGCATCATTTCATGTGGCACCCTACCGGTCGTAGGAACCATCTACAGCACGCTTGGGAGAGTCTTTTTGGAGAGACCGGGAAAGTCATTCAACGTTGTTGGGCAGGTCTGGGCAAGCAAGACCCTTCCTGCTCCAAGCGCAAGCTACAAGTCTTCCGGCCAAAGCCCCCAACAGGCCGAACGAACGGCCGCTGACACTTCCTTGTGCCTCTGCTACACGAATGCCCCACGTGTGCCCTCAAGCATTCCAGAAATTGCGCCGCTGCGGGGGACTAGGCTACCAGGCCAGCAACTCTTTGAGCTCCTGGTGCTTCCCACTGAGCTGTAGCCAGCTGGGCGACTCCTGCACTAGGAGTCCTCGGCCGGCTTCTTTGCTTCTGTGCTTCTTTGCTTAAGCAGGTTCGGCTGTGCACCCAACGAAACGTGAAGCAACCACATCACCGCGACAACTTGACACGCGCTGCTTTGGCGACGAGGCGCCCAGCGGGCTCATGATGAAGGCAGGCAGCACGCCCCAAACGCACAAGAGTCGCCACGGCCCCTGAGGTAGTACAGCCAAGCAGCACGCTCGTGAAGTGGGCACAGTAGACTTGTGACAGTACAGTACATGGGAGATGTTGCACTATTTATGTCACTTCTCCTAGGAAGGCGCCCCACCCTGCTATCTTGGGATCCTTTCTGCTGTTCTCCCTTCCCCCGGATTTGCAAGTGGAAAGGCCCACAGATAAGATATCACTGCGAGCAAGGGATTCAGCGAAATGCAGGTGAGGAGCTTGGAGGTTTGGCATGAAGAGCAGCAGCCCAAGAGCTGTCCAAGCCTCTCCAAGCCTCGAAAAGAATCAACGACTTTGCAGGCTACAATTGCAGGACCCGCAGGTTTATGCCTTTGAGCTGCCGCCTAGCAACACGTAGGCGAAGCCTGTGGCGTTGCTAAGGGGCCCTCTCTGCTGGGTCGGCGTGGCCTGCCAGATTGGGCAAGAAGCAAGGACCCAGTAAAGAGCATAACAGGCAGGCTCGGGCAACAGCGAAAAGTAAAACAGCAATCTGTACCATGAGCACGCTGCAAGCTTTGCAGGATGGCCGCAATGTGTTGTGGGACATGATCGCCACTGGTAGGGCTGGACATATTGATTGGCCAATGACTTCTAACCTGGCTACAATTCGGTTCAATGGGCTGGTGCCCTCCACATTTGAACTTTCTTGAAATAGTGGCACGGAAGATGCAAACAAAAAAGAGTAGCCGGAGTTCCCCTACTTTTCGGGCCTCCGTCAGCAGCGTGACTGCGGACGGTCCGCCGATGCCGATGGCACAGCCCAAGCTGATCCTCAAAAGGAACTCCCGCTATCAGGGGAATCTGATGTTCCGAAAGGGCAAGTGCAAACGAAGCTGATGCTGTGAACTGCTTTAGCGAGATACAGAATCAAACATCTTCAGCGGGGCTCACTGTTTCATTCTATATACAACTTTTCATGTCGTGGCAGATGACTGCAACGTGCCAAGTTATCATCTTCCGGCCATCGATCACTATGCCTTCGCGCAAAACGCAAGCCAGAAGGGCACACCAATTTCTGGGTGCCCTCCGCCTTACGTCATGTCTCTGGGCAGGAACCGTGTGTAGGAAGGCTTGTCCTGGACTCCCGGACTGCGGATAAGCGTCTGAATGAAAAAGAGCTCGCCGATTGTCTGCACGATCCTACAGTTGGTGCAAAATTCAAGTTTCAAGTCCGAATATGCGAAACTGCTTTGAGGCATACCGAATCGGTCATTGAGCAGGTCATCTTTATGGGCCAGCATCAGTCCAGGTTTGGATGTAACAGTGCACATCGCATGTCCCATGGCAAGGGAGAAAGCTGTACATAAGCTGCACTTAGAATGCATCCAGGGTACGAGCAAGCCAGTCCGAAAACGCTGACGAGGCAGAGGGAGACCATGCAAATGCGGCGGCGCCCAAACCTGGTGCGAATGTCTGTGAATATCTGTGGATCACGTGGTCTATTCTCAAAAGGCAAGGGATGGTCTCCCAACATGTCCGCATGCTTGTCTCCATGTTAGCAGGGTGCGCCTGCTACTCAAGGGCCCACTCAGCAGGTTCCCCATCTGCATGCCGGCAAAGGAGCTCGACCTGACTCTGTGACTCTGTGCCGACTCCTGGCTGAAAGCTTCGGTTACATGATAAAACACACCTGCAATGGCTGGGATCGGGACACGAGGAGGCCCCGGGCCATGCGCTCCATCCGGAGCTCGGGGCCCAGGGCAGCTACGATAGCAGAGACCAGCCTGGGAGGTTGCGAAGACACTGCTGCGCTGTGCGGCAAAGGGGACGCTTTGAGGACCGGCTTGGTTTCTGGATCTGGCCCATCATACTTCCAAAGTTCCAGCAAGGTGGAATAAAGCAGCCAGACTCAACGGTGTACGAGACACATGGACTGCACGTGGCCAAGCGACAGCATCTCAGCGCCGTCTGCCAACATCACTCCAGAACAGAAGAGTGCGACCAGCACATGGTAAAGACCTACCTCGGAATCTATCACATCGCGTTTCCTTCGTCCGAAAACGTTTCTTTCGTGTGAAAGCGCACAAAATACCGCACAGCTCAGGTCTCAGAGCTGTTGCAAGTGCACCAGGAGAATTGGGCTGGGAATCCCACACCCAAGTCGTCCAGAACCTGTGGTGTCCGCGACATATGCCACAGCTATGCTCTTGCGCCCTCGTCATGCGGCCGCTTCCCATTCCCCCTTGCTCAGGCCGAGAGGCTACGCTCAGGTCTCGGCCAGATCTGGTCATGGCTCAACTGGGGGGGGGGGGGGGGGCTCAGAAAATGTCGTGGCTGAAGGATCTGAAGCGATCTTCATAGTGGTCTTACCGCGTCAGTTCGATTGCAGCTAGCATTGCCCCGATGTGTGCCGATGGCCCTCAACCCTTCTCGAGCTCCGAGTTCCCTGAGCATGCATGAAGGTTCTCGGTTCTGTTGTCAGCTTCTGTTGCCTCGTGCTCTAGCCAACCTCTACCTCACCACAAGAGCCGCGCATTACATCACAAACAATGCCAAAGCAAGAGCGCACGAGGCACAACGCGCGAGTCGGCAGGCCGATTCATGTAGGACGATGTGAAGACGATGTGAAGCAACGATTCCGAGGGCGCCACGACCCTGATCCCACGTGGATCTTGCACTTGCCACCGGAACTGATGCGAACAAGCCGCAACCAAAACCTCACTGGTTCATCCCAAGACCGGCCGGACCACAATGGAACTGAAGCCAGCATTGCCAAGTCTGGCCATGGGATCCCTTCAATGAGGCCAAGGCCATTCTTCATCTCCAGGCAGCTTCTCCGTCCTACGCTGACAGCAGGAGATCATGTCAGAAGAGGTTGGGCGCGTCTCCTATACGGCCACGGGCACTTGAAGGGGACGCAGAAAAAGGAGTCCTCACAGGCTCTCGCCCTGAAGATGACAGCAGCCACCTCCACTCCGGATAGCATCAACTCAGAATGTGCCGCCGGCTGTCTGCACAAGCTCTTCAGCAAGAAACAGAACTTTTCCGAAGCACAAGCATGCTTTTGTTTTCGGTGTGAAAAAAACTTGACAACTTGGAGCCACATCTCATGTCAACAAACAGAAAAGGAATAAGTTGTTACGCGGGCACTGCCACCTAAGAACTGTCGTTGCTCTCAATTGCTCTCTGAAGCCATCCCAACTCAAGCTGGTCTGCTCAAGGATGAAATGATCTCGAGAACCCTGCGGGGTCAGCTCCCGGAAGCACAACTTGCGACCGTAGGGAGAGAGCACGAGGCGCGGCAGGGGAACATGCTCACTGAGGGTCCGGCCTGTCTTCGACGATGCTTGCGACGGCTTCGGGCGCCTCGCCTGAGGCTCGGAGGATGAATGGGATGAGATGGCTTGGATAGGCAGGGCCCAAAAACCGTGGAAGCCATAATATCATGATCATAATGAGACAACTGCAGCTTGGATCCAGAGAGAGAGAGAGAGGTAGCTTCCCGACTCGACCCTCACTCTGCTCAGCTCTTGGGCGCCAGCTGCTTCCTTCCCGGCAGTGAAAGGCTAAGGAGAGGTTGCGTTTCCTCTGTGCACCTGCGTTCTCTCATTGCAGGCTGTAAAGTTCAAAATTGAGCTGTGGCCTGAGCCATCTTAGCAATCTTAGCCGCTCAAAAAATGTTCATCACTTTGTCATGAAAAGAGAGATCAATCCACAGAAACGAGGCTTGGCCTGGCTTCACGCGCAGCCAGATGCGCAATGCCTTCTTGAGAGCCAGCTCCTCTGGCAAATCGCAAAAAAAACTGGAAGAACAATGGAACGTGGCATCTCCCCAGCTTTTCAAGTTCTCTCTGCTGGACATCAATCTACGGGGCGGTCTAGTCTGCTGAGGTTTCGACCCAGCCCACATCCTGCCTCAGCAAAAATCCCAACAAGGCCGAACCCGGACTTTCGCCAGGATGTATTTTCACCAGGATGCGCCAGGAGATGCAAAACTCATCCAAAACTGATGCAAACTTGTGTGATGCCACGGCCATTCTCGGCCATTCTGTCTGGGCCCTCTGCCACTCGGAGGTGGCAATGAGGGTCTTGCACCTTAGATCCGAATCATTCAGCTTCGCAGTCGTCTATCAGTGCAACAGTTTGCTGTGCTTAAAGGCGGAGAAGCCGTTATCTGAGGTAGTAAGGCACCGGCTGTAGCATCGTTGACATCAGAAAAGCCTCGTCTCCACTCACAAGTCACTTAAGGCTTTCTCGGACAAGCGACGCTTTGCCGTGCCTCTGCGGTGTGAGGCAGCCGCCGGACAGACTGCTCCTGAATGCCAAGTTTGCCCTGGCTTCATGGGATGCTGGAAAGCCAAGGCTGAAGGATACATGCCTCGTCATTGCGCAACAAACGATCCAAAAGTGATACGAGCAACCATGATCACTGTCCGCTTGCAGGCTTAGTGGCCTCGCGCAATGCCCCGCCCTTACACCCCTCCCCAACCAAAGGCCCTGTCCTGCTCCTGATGTCCGGCTCTCCTGGACAAAGGTGATTCTAATGGACTGTAAGTTGTTGTGTCGAAACTGAGGAGTTCCAGCGTTTAGGCTAGATGGAGTGGCCCGTGCGGCGAGCGCCGCCGACCTTCTCTCGAAGCCTAAACTCGCGTTCTCGCCCAAACGTGGCCGTGAAAGCTCGCCGTCCATCACTTCATGGTCCATGCGTTCGCGAGATGTGAAACACTCGTCGCTTTTGGACTTCTGGGCTCGCGAGATGCGAAACAGTCGTCGGCGAAACTGTCATCACTTTTGGATGTCGGGGTCTTGGAGTGTTCTCTTCGTGCCACCATGGTCTCTCACTGCTTGGGGCCCACGCTGGAATAAGAGGAGAGAACAGGGCCGTTGGTCATGTCGCTATACACCCTGCAAGCCCCCACACGCCCTCCTGACCCGAAAGGACTTTAAACCTAAAATGCCCCGAAGCCAACAAGCTCTAAACTTGCAAACTGACAAACCCCATGTGCAACCGCCCAAGGTGGACACGCCGCGGAAAACGACACATGAAAACAAAAAACATCAAAGCATGTAAAAAGGAAGGCAGAACAGAAGAACAGCCCCCGAAGTCAAAGGGCGGGACTTGAGGGTGGCCAAGTTCAGGAGTCTACGATGGCTCTGAGGCGAAAGGGAGGCCTAGTGCCCAGTGCCTGTGGCTCACAGGCCTAGTGGGGCTTGCCATAAGGTGATTGTGCGCACAAAACGAAGTCCTCTGTGAGACAGAGAGAGAGAGAGAGAGAGAGAGAGAGAGAGAGAGAGGGAGAAGGGAGAGAAAGAGAGAGTGTGTGTGTGTGTGCAGGTTGGGCCTGCAAAGTCTTTTGGGGACACTGATGGCTCCTGCCGCGTCGCTCCGTTTGTTCCAAAAGCCGCTGGCGGATCTGGCCATTGGGGGAACGTTTGGGCTTTAAGGTCCTGAGAGGACCCTTCGAGCTGGAAACTTCTGTTCCAAAGTACACCACTACCGTGGGCAGCCAAGTCTTGATCAGGAATCTTACACGAGCACTGTGCTCAAACTCCGAAACGCAATTGCAATCCATCTTGGTGGCCAGGCCCGGTAGGGCAACACAACCGGTTACACCCACAACCTACAAGGTCCTATACGAGCTGCGCAAGGACCCAATTCAGCTGTTCACACTTCTGGCCTCTGCCCAGTCTTGTGCCTCAACGTCAAGGCTCTCCGCCAGTAGATTCGTCTGCTCCGTCTCCTGCTCCCCGCTGTGTCAAGAGGTGTGGTCAACCGGCGCAGCAAATTAAAAAAACAAGAAACACTTGCTCTACAGTCACTACAGCCTACAGCGGGTATTCTCACGCTCATGACATTGTCCGACAGGACTGGAGCAGCGCGGTTCGACCGTTTTTTATCGCTGCGTCTGCTCGTGACTGGGCGCGAGGCATTCCGAAAAGCACGGTGCTGGTCGAGCTCCGAGAATAAGGAAACCGCCACTATCAGCCACTCTTGAACTTCAGGGCAGCCACCGGTATTGTAGCTACTCCCTGCCTTCCCTGCCTTGCACGGCTACACCGTGGCGAGCACGATGAGCACGCACATGTCACATGTCACGGTTTGAAAAACTGAGTTCAATCACGAATTGTCTGAGCGGCCACTTGAGCTAGCTGGCACTCGATCTCAAAGGCTTGGACGTGCAGCTCCGTGCCCAGCATGAAGGCTTCAACGGCACGAAGCGCAGGGTCTGGAAGGTCCATGCCTTTGGGCCCAGTCAGACTGTACAGGAACCGCACCGCCAAGGCATCCATCGCAAGCACCTCGCAGGGCTTAAAAAGGTCCCTTAGCTACCCGGCACGGAAACACAAGAACCTTACTTCTAGAAGGGAGATCTCAACTCCACCTGTGGAAGCGTACACCACTGCCGCACCTCAGGCCGTGTGATGCTTCGCAGCTCTTGGCTGTGACATGAAGATGTGGACAGGCCCCGCACAGGTCTTAGTAAGGTTTAGAAAGTTGAACGATACGACGATACGTACTGTTTAACTGTAGGGTTTCGCATGGCAGCTGAGGCGGCCGCCAAGTCCATCTGGGATGCCCAGATGCTCGGCGCCAACAACGCCAATGCATCCCACATGCTTTGCTGAAACGGGGCAGTCGCCGCATAGTCTGCCAACAACCCGGGCAGGTTCTTCATTCGTAGGTAAATGCATCTGATCTCCCGGCGCACTGTGCTTATAGCAGAGCGGGCGTTTGTCTTCAGGAGCAGCTTCGTGACCTCAAGGCACTGTAGCTTCACCGATAGCAGGTGCACCCGTGGTAATTCACGGATCAGGCGTCGAAGAAGGCACGTGTCCAGCGAGGCTGGGCAGGGTGTGCCCTGCTCCACATGAAAATGCAGGAAAGCCTCCACCTTGAGCTTGTCCCTGAGCCCTGCGTGCAAGGCGATCTGGAGTTTGTCGATGCTCAGCCTATCCGAGAGCTCATCCTCAAGGAGCATGTCCATTCGAATCCGACATTTGGCCCCTTGGGCGGACAGAGTCCGCACAGTCCCCAAGTAACTTGGCCAGTCTTCTGTCAACGAGGCCCTGCAAGGTCGACATATCATTCCATCGAGCAGTGAGTTGCCCCATCTGTCTCGTAGTTGCGACAAGTCTTGGCCATCATCGAGCGCTTGCCTCACTACGTCTAGCTCCATGCTGAAGCGCCAGCCATTTCCAGGCGAACGGTCTGCTTGGCAGGTGTCTCGCCGGGTAGCCATGGCTCCGCGACAGAGGCACACTCAATCACATTCAAGCCAAGCACATCCAGACACGTCGATTCTGATCTCTCTTGGACTCTGTTGGACTCTCCGTTGTTCACAGCAGAAGACTAAACTCTGGCTCCAAGGCCACTTCAAGGCACCGCAGCGAGCTCCTCTTCTGGAGCCTCCCAGGCTGCGCCCGAGCCTTCCAAGTCCGGTCTACTGCTGAAGGAGAAGTTTCGGTTCTTTGCTAACCTGATGTCTTTGCCTGAACCTGAGATTCTGAGATGTCATTCTTTTTCTAGAATCTGACAGCACACGATCTCAGCCAGAAGGGGCCCCGGCGGACCACGCTCTGGGCATGTGCAGCCACTCGGATGTCCTGCAGAGCTCTGTTTAACGCAAAGCTGCTTTTTAGCAGGGTCTAGTTAGTTCTTCAAACTTGTAAATATGCGTGGTGTTTGGTTTCTGACGTTTTGGGGTATTCATTCCAGAGAAATTACTGCACGAAGCGATGGCACACAGCGAAACTGACCCAGGAATGGCTGCCAATCCTGTTGGTGCAAACTGCCTTCCTCACCGACCGCGAAGCAGCTATAGCAACAGACGCTTCCTGTGCCCCAAGTTCAGGCCCAAGTCCTGGCAGGAGGGCAATGTACATCTTGGGGCAGTGCAAGCATGTGCTGGTCATCGTAAGCTCAGCACGCGTCCTTCAACACGAAGTTCTATGTCAGATGCTTCCGAAGGGATCGAGCTGCTGCCTGACGCAATATAATGAAAAATGAGAATAAATAAACCCGTGCATCTCTTGACACACTGAGGCTGGAACCCAAAGGAGGCGTTTGATGAAGCGGAATGCAGAAGGACAGCTCTTGTGGCCACCTCATTATGGCAGGGTTGCTTGTGGAGCGTCTATGAAGGATGGGTGCTTTGAACACAGTGAAGGTCAGCAAAACACACACACACACACACACACACACACACCCGCACACACACACACACACACACACACACACACACGACTTCTTGTTCGGAAGCCTGCATTTTGATTTTCGAGGTCTACTGCTCGACTTTGCGCCAGCTGAGCTCCGCTGGCGGCACTACAAGTTTGTCTACAGCATCCCATCGCCAGAACCTTGAAGTGCATGCAACTAACGTACGCCAACCAACGCCAGCCATCGTTCCAGTACTTTTCAGAAGCTGCAAAGTCGCGGGATGGAGAGCTACAGCCAGCGGCTACGCAGCTACAAATACAACCCTGCCATGGGTGCCAGCATGTGCCAGCTTTGGCTAACAGTAGTGGGACCTGCAGACGGGAGCTGCCTTGCCAGCAGAACATGTCCCGGCTTGGCGACCGACTCCCCAGGTGGCGCCGCACCGCGGAGGACGGCGGCGACTTCCTGATGGGGTTTGCTTTGAAAAAGTGTTCTGCAACGCTCTGCGAATGCTCTGCAAGGAAGGAGCATGCAGCAGTGCAGGTTCCAGCCAACGAAGAAACATGTACAATCTCCCATCGGTTCCGATCCTGGGGACCCTTTGCAAAGGATGCGGGCTCTCGCCGTGTGGTTCCCCAATGCCTCAAAGCACGTTTAGGACGAGCGGCTTTCTTGTGCCTTCAGCTTCCTATCTAAGTGAGTGAGTGGGGTGTTGACAAGCGCTGCATTGTCTTTGACTCATCTTGGACAGCAGGCGCCATGTCCTGTCAGTTTTGATGCTGAGTGCAAAACCTCCATATGCTGGAAGGAAGGGACCTTGGCAAGCACCGCTGTCTGCGATACTTGAAATGGCTTAGTGCTCTTTGGAGTTTACAAACGACAACTCCCGGCAGGCTCCAAGGAGCTAGTTTTCGTGATAAGGTACCCAAGCACTGCACGTTCCTTTTCCCAACTTTCACAGCTGGTAGTGCTTGGCGAACTCCTGCTCCAGCTCGTGCAGGTCGTCTGCGCAGATGACCTGGACTTGCTGAAACACAGGTGTTTCCAGGTTCTGAACAGCCTTGCAACCTTGCAAGGACTGTTAACACAGCTTGTGCTGTTGGCGCGACTACTTGACTGCATGGTTTCATGGTCTGCCGAGGCGCCAAGGAATGGAGTGGGCCTCCAAACTCGGCCTCCGCAAGCTGCTCCACTGGCCCCGCACGAATGACCTCTCGTGCAATCTGCGTGCAAACAATGCAGGATGTCAGAAGTCGAGCCTGGCGGAAAAAAGCCTTGTGTAACAGTTGAACAGTTATAGCCCAAGCAGAAGGGGGATTTTCTGGATCCAGCGCCTGGTCCTCACGGCCCAGGCGTGCTAAACCAAACGCCAGGCCAGTGGAGACGCCCATTTCTTTGGCCTTTGGCAGGCTTGCGCATGGTGCTGCCATTGGCACTGCCGCTGGCAGCATGTCGCCACAACAGTCACAGTACATACTGTTGGTTGGAGTGCAGTAGCCACCGGCCTACTTCGGGATCGCTTGGCTACCTTTGTCGTCCTTGATAGGATTCCTCATAAGGTCCCCTGAAGCGGAGCCCTGTATAGTTCAGATGTGTAGAACCTCCACTTGGCAGTCTGGCGGCCTTCTCAACTTCCATAAGTTGATCCAAGGCCTGGCGCACCTGCACAGTCTCCGCGTCTTGCAGGGTGCTGGGAACAGGTGTGAGTTGTGCGTCGTAACTTGCGGCGAGCCGCCGTCATGAATCTAGGCGGCTCGTAGATCTTCCGCCCACGCATCAGGTTTTCGACCTTGGCTGCCGTCAAAGGCCATGCGAAGAGACTTGACAGTTGTTGCAGCACTTGCTTTGTCTTTGTTTCGGGCGAAGCGCCGATTGCTCCTTGACTTTGATGTCGAGAAGGCACAGCGTGTGAAGCCCAGCCCTCTTGTTCTTCAGGATCTTGTCCTTGGTGACAACTCTCGTGTCTTGCCCTACTCTTAGAACTAGTCTTCCACAAACTCTGTAATGACCTTGAGGACTGAGATGCAGCCGAGCGTCGTACCAGCTGTCAGGCCGCCAGCCATCCTGCCAAAAGGGGATGGACACCGTCTCACCGAAACGATAAAGCTGCAGCCCGCAGGAAGCCACAGCATTCATGACCTAAGTCAGACAGGCAGGTCCTGAAGCTGCTGAGACTTTGTGGCAAGATAGCCGCTAGTCGGCTAGTCACTTGGGTCCTGACAGAGGCGTTGTGGATCACTCGTACAGGGATCTCACGTTGCCTGCCAGCTCTTCCGATGACAACCCCGTATACACAGCCCTCAGCGACCACTCATCCGAGACAAGTGGGCGCCTTGCTCTGAGCCACAGGTCTGTGTGAGTGGTGGCGCACAACGGGTCTCCTACCACGAGGAAACACCTCAAGCAGGGCATGGCGTTGTCTAGAGAGGCCACAAACGCCTCCAAAATGTAAGCTCATCCAGGCATCACGCACGCAAACTCCGCTGCATGTGTTTAGGCTTAGATACTGCAGTTCAAGTCACACTTCTTGATCCTGCAAAAGGCAGTGCAGGCAGATCTTGGACAGTGCCGATCCTTCACAAAGCCCATCCCCCCTTCAAGTCCTTTGCTCGCTCCAGCATCTCTTCGCAGCCACTTTCCACCAGCTCGCGATCGGCCTCCAAGATCTCTTGCACGCCATACCTCACTTGGCCGAGTGGTGGAGTGGGGCAATCGCCGGGCGAGATTGCAGCCGATGTAGTTCTGAGCCTGGTGGCGCAGCTGCCAGTGTCTCCTTGTCCAGGCCTGGCAGGATGGACGTGTACCTTAGGGGCACCGGATTTGCCCATGCCGATACATGGCAAAAAGCCCCCTTCCCTTCAAAGGACCCAAAGGAATGTCAGAAGAATTTCGGACCAGGCGGCGCTTCCAAGTAGATGTAAGCGCTCCTGAGCAGTCCACAAAGCAGTTGCAAATTCCAACCCCTCGTGTTGTAAGCAGAAAGGAGAGCAGATGCCACTTCCGCCAGGCGTCTGCTGCACTGCCTTCAGCCCCTTCACGGAGATGTCGCCCTCATCACCGAGCCCCAGGCCGATCATCCACAACACCATGGCACCACAGGCGGAGGAGATTCTGACTCAACTCAGTGTAGCAGCTTAGCGCCTTAGGGGGGACAAGGGCTGAGCTGGTGTACACTTCGCTGGAGACAGCGATGTTCGATGGGCAATGAGTTGGGGTAGCGTTCGAGGGTTTCACGGTGTTCGTTCAGCCGTTTCAGCTGCAGCGCCGTGTGCATGCGACACAACTTGGCACAAGGGAAGCTGCTGCTTGATGCCCATACCGTGCATGCTCTCTCTTCGCTGTGTAATGCTTTGCACGCGGCTGGCTCCTTGCCCGCTGAGGTCATGGCTCACCGCTGCTAACATGTTGGCCTGAGATTACACAAAGCACGCAATCTGATACCGGGATCTGGTGCTGGTTGATTGGAGGTCACGGCCGTGTCTTGGTTTGATGATGAAAGTCATTGATCCGCACTCTCCGGCACTGATCCACCAAACGGCACATATTCAGAACCCTAAACCACGCCAGACAACCCCGAACCCTTTGCCGGAACACGCGCCAAGAGCAGCAAAGGAAGGTCCTAGAAGTCTATCAGCTGAGCAGCGGACAAAACTCACTCCAAGCACAGTAGTGATAGGCGAGCCTGTGCACCCGTCTCGGCAAACTGTAAGCAATACTATCCAGCAAGAGGCTAAATCCATGCAAATGCGCGTGTGCGGCAACACCTGCGCTGAGCACCACCTCTCGCGTGGTTGTAGCCCAACAAATTCTGCTGAGGGGCTCGGCGTCGAACTCGATATCATCAGAGTCGACCCTCGTGGCCATGGAATGATCAGAGTCGACCCTCGTGGCCATGGAATGACCCGCTGTCCCACTCTAGCTGAGTAACATTCTGACGAAGCAGCACGAAGCACGGCTCCACGCGTTTTACGCATCTTTGCCCGTCATTACACTTCACTTGCTGAGGGCCCGGCAGGAGGGCTTGTCCGTGAATGACAACCCCAGCTGCATGGCGCAGCACCACTCTGCCAAGGGCCCGATCCTGACAAGACACCCCATACCACATCACGAAGAGCCTGCAACAGCACTTTGCAACAGCATGGACTGAGGAAACCGCAAACTCGAAGCCATAACCATTGGGCAGCGAGGCACTGCGCAGCATCAGCAGGCTGATTTGCGAAGTGAGACCTGCCAACCCACTTGCACAGCTCCCATCTTCCCGGTCGTACATGCAAACTTACGCATGCCCGTTCACAAGAGAACTCCTGCGTGCGACCTGCTTGCTGAAGAGAGTTTCAGACAGCTGCATCCTATAGTGGCAGCACCTACTGCCTGCCTGCATGCGGAGAACACTCGCCAGCATCTATCCACTCCTTAAGCTAGACCGACCGAATGCAGGAGGCTGAGCTTGCTCTCGTGCTTCCAGACAAAACACCGAGACATGCTGTGACTGGGAACATGGCAGACAGCGTGGCGCACTTGTACGCCCTCCTGCAAGGAGTACGTGACATGCTTCTACAGAGTGGCAGCACAGCCCAGCCATCACGGACAACACTGGCAGAGCCGGTGTCAAGGTGTCAAAGATCCTGGAGCTGTGGGGAATGAGGCCGGCCGTCTCCTGCAAGAAGGGTCTGGGTGGCATCGTGAGGTGCGGAATCCACTAGAGGTCTCCTGCGACAAAGCGCGGTCGCCCCGCGGCAGTGGCAAGGCTCCTGGGCCTCGCCTGCTTTTGTTGATTTTGTTGGCTTGTGGCTGCTTGTGGCTAATTTGGAGACATTGCCTACATTATGGGACATTGGCTACATTGGCAAGAGAAGGTTGAGGACATAAGGCATTCGGGATTCAGGAAGCCGGCAGAGTTAAGCGACACTCGGAGCGGCAACGGAGGCCCTGCATCCCGCGACATTGGGCCTTGGCCCTTCGTCTGAGGCACCACGAGGACTGGGCATGCCTGGCTTGGCTCTGGGTTTAGGTTGGCATGTATTTAGGGCATTACGCATCCGTGCTATGAGATGCTGTATCTGATACACGTCCTACGAGGTGAGCACTGCCGTACGGAAAGTTGGCGTCGGTTAACTACGGGGTGTTTGCGTCCCTGAGCTGTTCCACAACTCTTTAGCAGGATTGAGCCTGAAAACGAGACCACAAGATGCTTTGATTCATTGACGAGCTGATCACAGCTTGAGATATCAAGTCCCAGCCTGCGAGCGACCATGGGCCCTACGCTCTTCCTGGCAAAAGGAGTCCTTGTGCAGCTCTGCACGGTGGCAGCTCTGCAAAGGGGAAAGGGAGCGATGCTAGCGTTGCTGTCTTTAGCCGGCTGTGCGACCGTGTGACTCACAGCGATAAAGCCGTACTGCGTCACGAATTGATTCGGAGACATCGACTTGGGTTCTGATGATTCGTGGCTGCTGGGGCAACCGCAGATGTGCAATCTTGAAAGGATCCAAAAACTCCACATGTGTATGAAGCAGATACCCTGGTGGCGGCTCTCTTTACCCAGCGCAACACTGGATCAACTACTGCGGTGGGCAGGACAACAATGCCCGAACGAACAGCAACCCATATCAACTTCTTGCGCGCTTCCTATTCAAATTCAGCTTCTAGAAGACTTAACAAAGATGGCCGAAAATCATGTAATTCACAACGAGGCTTCTGGGGTCTTGGCCTTACCACTAGGGCTACTTGGCAGAAGCGCTCACTGCTCTCGGCCGATCAGCCTGAGAACTGGGCTTTGTAGCTTGCAAGGCTTGCAAGCACACTTCGGTTCCGCAGCCGCCTTGCCGCCGCCCTCGTTCGTGCTCACCACGACTGGAGGTCTCCTCGCAAAAGAGGAGGGCTGCGAGGGTTGAGCCTCATTCTGAACTTGTCAGCCCAGGCCTCGAGAGGGAATCTCAGAATCCAGTGACACCTGCGCAAACAGCGCGGCAAGAATGAAACCCGATTTGACGCGGTCCCCTTTGCTCAAAACCTAAGGTGCAGGCGATCTTCCCTCGGGCAACTTCACCTCCAAAGAGGGAAGAGAGTGCTCAATTGGGGCTTCGCTGCTGACACAGGAGCTCTCCGCCTTTCCGTTCCAATGTGCGAAATTGCTGCCTTGGCGACAGGAGACAGCTGCAAAGCTTGTAATGTCTGTCCGAATATGTGTGTGAATACACATATATATATATATATATATATTTATTTATTTATTTATTTGTTTATCTTTATACATATACATATACATATACATATACATATACATATACATATATATATATATATTTATTTATTTATATTTATATATATATACACCGTGAACTACATAACCAATAACATATATCATATAACATGGAACGCATAACATAGAACGTAGAACATAGGACGCCTCGAACGCGTAATGCAGAACATACGAGTGCACTAGTCCTGCGCCAGCTAGGCAGGCTGTGCACCGTCTCACGAAACTGCCTGCAACAATGCTCCGCCTCGACCACCTCCCTGAACCATAACATCCCGTAGATATTTAGGGTTTGGGATTTAGGGTCTAGGGTCTAGGGTTTAGGGTTTAGGGCTATTTTTGCAGCAGGACTCTACACCACTGCCGTAAACATCCCTTGGTCTCAAAATGCAAGGCCCCCAAGATCCACATGAAGGGCTCCCCCATGTCTATGATTCCATGGCTCTCTCAATTCCGACCCCTGTTCGTTAACTGGGGGGGTTCCGATGATAACCCGAGCCGCAGCCTTACCTTGAACAAAAAGAAGCATCAAAGCACAATCGGGGAGAACTTCCCCCCCTCTCCCGTTCTGTTGGGCTTCCCCGCGGCACTGCTGCAGCGCGCGGAGCAGGGCGGCCCCGGGCTCGCGCTCTGGTCGGCACTTTGAGGGTCGCTCTCTGGGGGAGGGCTGAAAGGATTTTATTGTGCGCGTCGGGCTTGTGGGGAGGGTACCGGGCTCGTGGAGAACCCTCCGAGGCCTCGGGCTGTAAGAGTCCCACCCCCACCCCCCGACCCCCTCCCCCGCCCTTTCCCGCCTTCAGCCCTCAAGGCGCGGAGTTGCGCTTCAAGTTCCAACCCATGCAGCACTGCAACTTATGGCCTTGCCTCGCCGCTGCCGTGGCCGCGGGCACCGGCCGAGGCGGGTCGCGTGGCATTAGAAACTACTGTTGGTGTTGTTGCTTATAGGGTCTTAGAACTTTTAGGGTCTTTGAAGTCCTGAAGTGGGGGTTTCCTGGCGCCTCTCGAGCTCGCTGAAGCAGCACCACGGAAGCGGGGAGCCATTCCCTGCAAGAGATCGGAGCAGCGGTTCAAAGCTTAGGGCGGCTCCGCGCGCGGCTTTAGGCTGGGGCTTACGGTTTCACTTTTTGGGCCCAGGCCTTCGGAGACCGAGAGCGGCGAGGCCATCTCCGCCGGGCCCCCGCTTCCTTGAACCGGCTTCACGGGTCTAGGAGGCTTTTCACTGGTCTGAAGTACCACGGATTGCCAAGGGGTCCTCTTCAACTCGGCAACTCTCGGGGTTCCTGCCGGTAGGCAGCGCAGCACAAAAAAACGCTTTGAGGCAATTCTTGTAGCATCTTACAACTAGCCGTAACTAGTGACTGAGTAGGTAGATATCTTCACCAGACTCCTCCCAACTCAAGAAAGACGGCGCAAGCGAGCGTTCAGTCTGCCTGTGTCTCGACGGCGAATATTGACTGCGACCTTCGGCAAGGCCACTCCGCATTCCAGGAACTGCACTTCTGCTTCAAGACTGGGCTTACTCTTGAGAAATATTAAGGCGCGGGCTCCGCGCCACTGGACTCACGTCTGGGCGCCTCAGCGAGTGCACAAGTGACTTTCAGGACCGGGGAAGGACGCCTCGGCAAGCGCAGCGCGCCCAAACGAGCCCTGCCTTGGCGGAGGCGCGTCCGTCTCTTCGTCGCAAGACTCGCCTTGTCGCACCAGGACCATAGGACCATGACACAGCACAAAGGGTTCTCCCGGAGCATCTCGCAGTCAATGCTGCGAACTCAGCAGCGAACTGTACTCGCGGGAATTGCTTCCTGAGTCCGCCGTCTGAAGAACTGGCGCAAGAATCGAATCGTAACAGCTTCGAACCAACAACACTACATACCCAATTCAAATGCCAAGGCGGGCTTTCAATCATCAAATCCCTGTGCCATGTTGTAGCATGCGCCTTCATGACTGAGAGCTGCAGCGCCTTATACTGGGACCGAGTTCCACGCTGTCGCGACGAGGTGCCCGTGGGGTGGACCTTTTATCGCGGTGCGGCTGCTTCTCGTTGCTTCGCGTGATCGGGTCATCGCAGCATATCGCAGCACTGGGGCTCAGGCTTCGCAGAGGCGCCACGCCAAGAACCTCTGGACTTCAGAGCGAACTGGGAATCAGGAGGTTGCAATTGTGGACTTGGTCTGAGTCTTGCCAGCAGTTCAGGGGCTGCCCCTTCGGCCTGATGACAGGGTCACGGCGCTCGCGACGGCGCTCGCGGCGCCGCTGGCGCCCGCTGCACCTGCCAGGCCTTGCGCAAAGCCCGGGCCTGGCGCGCCTGACGCCAATCCTGGTGTGGGGCCTGGCACGGGGCCTGGTGTGGCTGGTGCGGGGGCTGGTGTGGGAACTATTGGTGCGGGGGATGGTGTGGGGCCGGGCGGCGGTCGGAGGTGCCCATTCGGAGCAGCAGACCCCACAGCGCGGAGTTCAAGGTCCTCGCACGGTCACAAAAGATCTCTTGCACGTCTCTGCTCCCAAGGGCTTCCCTCCATATAAGAGCATTCAAGAGCTACCAAAACTAGCCAAGCTAGACTCCAAATGGCCCGGCCTTGGGAGGATGTAGGTGCGTGCCATTTGGCTCCAAGGGCGGCCGCAGAAGCTGCCTTGTAGGCTGCCGGATGCAACTCTGACTGCAAAGGTTCACCCAGGTGTGCCGCTACCTCGGCTTATGTGTTGAAAAGCCAAACCCTGCATCTGCAATGTGTTTGGAGGTTGTGTTTGTTTCTTCTTGATGCAAGAGCCCTGAGTCTGTTGAGAGTGCACGTTTAAAATGTTGGATGTACTGGTGTGGTTTCGCACGGTTGGCAGCTCGTTCTTTATGTCCAAGCATGTCCAAGCCACATCTATGGTGTTGGTTCATCTTATGTTTTAAGGCGAGTGCAAAACTCCACCGCTCTGCGTGCGCAGTGCTAGTAAAGCTGCAGCGTTGCTGCCTCAACGACCAACAATTCCAGGTGCCCTGCACGGGTGGGGCCGCAGGCCGGTGTTGGGGCGATGGGGCAGGCTCCCTGCCGGAACATTTTTTTTCATGACCTTGTAAGACTTGACGTAAGGAGTCTGTTAGCCCGGATGAGCCCGGGGTGTCATCCTCAGCCTCGTCGGCTCCTCCACAAGGTCTGCAGGCCAGCTTTCGCTTTTGGTGCCTTGATCGTTCATTCAGCCAAGCAGGGCCAAGCAGAGAACTCCCTCAAAGACGCTCTGCACTGCAGGACAGGAACACTGAGGTGCCAGCGGCTCAACGTCACCTCCGGGCATAGCTGACCTGTCGCATGGTCAGAAAGTTACATTCTGAGACTGGCGTGTCTCACAGGCACAGCGAACCCAAAAGCGGAAGAAGATTCATTAGCATAAGTTCGTGTGCAAACGGTACCAGGAACGAATCATAGAGCGTCAAGTCGGGGTCGTACATCAGGAAACCGATGGAAAACGACACAACATGCCAAACTGAAAAGAAAGCGCACGGAAGACCCGAGCGGCCCCAAGGTATCAAACGTCACCAAAAGGCAGACTAGACGGTCACCTAGCGTGAGGTTTATGCCAGAAATTGAGAAAGCGGGAACTCATGTCGAAGGGTGACCCCATCCAAAAGCTGAGGCATCGGCCTTCAGGCCTGCGGAGGGGATGTTGAATTGCGGTATTGAACATCCATGGGTTGAATCAACAGTGCCTATGACTTTATGGGGTTGATGACAACGACCCTCAGGCTGCTGAGCTTTTGCATTCAGATTCTCCGGCCATCTCGGAGCATATCTGCCGGCACTCAAAAGGGAGGGTCTAGGCGGTCTGGGTGGTCTGGGTGGTCTAGGCTGGGGCTTGGCTCGGGCTTAGGAGGCTCAGGGCCTTTCGGAGGGACCAGGCGCTTTGGAAAAATCACCCTCGCAGCCTAGCTCCACTGATATGGGGCCCATGTGGCCCAAATCATCGTTCAGGAACTCTTGTGCTGCGGGAGACTTTCAGAGCACTGTCCTGACTCGCAATGCTGCAAGTCTGACGCATTGTCAGCATTCTTTGCAAACAAAGGCCAGGCTTTGCCAGCGGAGCAGTGAGCAGTGGACTGTCCAAGCCCTGCAGGAGTTAACTCAAAGAAGCTGCGATTTTTGTTGGACATTCCTCCGTCGCGTTTTTCCGGTCGTCTGTGCCATGTGCTAAAGCAAACGACTGGAGGGCCCGGAGGCATAGCTTCAGAAGAAGTGCAGTCGATGCTGCATTCCATGGGGGGATGTGGTCTGTGAAACCTCCATCGCCGCGTCTGCAGTAGCAGCTGACCTAGGCTTGGCACATCTAGCACAGAAAGAGCAAAGTCGGGATGATCCTAACCCGCACAAGCCGCCAGCGACTGAGCTGATTGCGCTTGTCGCTACCGTCATCATTGCAGCAAGCTGGAGATCAAGGCTTTCACCTTCCGAGCTGCATGCAGTCTTCGAACATGACTGCTGGAGACATGAGCCATCTGCGTTCATCTGCGTTGGACCCAAGCTGTTTGAGACAAAGGATGACGATGAATGTTGATCCGAGATACACTGTAACACTAGGAGTTCGATATGTGCTTGTCGGCCGGAGCTCTGAATGTGCGGAATATCAGCTTTGCGCGGGCCTCCTCGACGTCCACATTCATCGACAGGACAGCCTTGTCCTCCGTCATCGGGTCCTTTACTGCTCCCTTCTTGTTTTGGCACCCTCTCTTTCTACAGGGCATGGGAAGGGGAGCCCTCTTCTTCTTCTGCGCGCTTGAGAGGTCCCCCAAAAGGGGAAGCCCGCTCTCATGTGCTCTCTCTTCTTCTTTCCGAAAGCTATTAATAATTATTAAGATCTATCAAGAAGTCATTGCGCCCTTGTCGCACACTCAACTGAGAGTTCCATTCTCGGCTACAGCTACTACTCCCTGCTTGCAAGGGCAGTCCGCGGCGAGCTGGTGGTCATACTCATTCGGCATGACCTGGCACATCGCCGCAACTATCACCATGTGATCATCGCAAACTCCACCGCAGAAACTCCGCATGCCGCGCCTTGTCCCCAATGGGAAGGTACGTGAAGTTCAAAGCTGCAGCCAAGTCCCAAAAGTGGTAGTCCTGCATCTTGAAGGGCACCTCCAAAGGCAAGGGAGAGAACTCTACGATAGCCTCTGATGAACCTAATAACCGACACAACATTGGAATTTGGCATGCTCAGCAGTGCCTGAGGAACGATCTCCACAACCTTCATGCCATCCGGTGCGAAGATCATGTTGGCCATGTTGGCTCCATGTGCGCCCAGCAAGATCTGAGAGGCAGGTAAGACAAGGAAGCATTGCACTTGAAAGCACTGAAACACTGCCCCCCCCCCCCCCTCCTTCCCCGCCCGCCCGCCGTTCCCCCTAAAGGATCGCGCTCTGCGCTTCTTTTGCGAGCATTTCTCTCAGGGCCATCTAGGGCCAGGCCTCCGCTCTGGACAGCGCCTGCAGGGTGTGGAGGAAGTTCTTCGGGTCGGGCGTCACGACCTGCTGAGCTCAGCTCTTGGAATTCTGGCTCGCAACAAGACGAGCTGTGGCGCGTATGGCGCAACACCACACCTCGACAGGTCTTCCCAAGGTCTTCAAAGCCTGCGAAGATGTGGGTGTGGGAATTGCAATCCATCTATCTGGCAAAGAAGAAACTCTCGAAGAGCAGGGTTCCGGAAGGCACCTGGACCATCTCGTCCTCGTTACCAAGAGATCTAGAGCCGTGACCTCGTGACAGGACCTCAGAATGCCGACCAACAGCCGCCCCTCGCATCAACATGGCAGCGTAAGCTGCTGATGCATCGCTAGCATTGGTGGACACCCAGGTCTCATCGTTCAGGTCTCATCGTGCAAAGTGAGGCTCAGGCCACGATATGCCCCCGATTCTTCAGTCTGCAGGGCCTGCCCGGCGCAGGACTTCGGATTCGAGCCTCCCTCATTATGGCGAAAACAAACTTTACGGAGACAGACTGCAAACTTCTACGGAGACAGACTGAGAACGCTTCGATGCAGGGAGGCATTGTCGCTGGGGCGGGGTCGCAGGTCGTTCAGAAAGAGGAGGGGGGGACCCCAATGCAGGCGTGTGGTGAAGAAAAGAAGAAGGGAGGCGGCGTGTTGCCTGGCTATGACTTCTCTCTTCAAATGGGAAAGTGGGGAGGAGTCTCCTACCCTCTGAAAAAGAGCCGTGCTCCTCTATCGAACGGGTATGAAGAGATCGTGAAAAAAACCGAAGGCCCACACTGCTCGATTGCAGTACGTATTGTGCTCGAGCCTGGCGGACTCATCCATGTAATCGTCCATGGCTAGTAGATTTCTTCGGAACTCGGCCAAGTAAGGCACCTCTGTCGCAACAAGTCTAGCCGCTGCTGCATGATTTGCGTGCGGCCGAGATGAGCCGTGATCGATACATCACTGCAAACGCAGCATGCTCTTGCGGCTCGGACCGAGAACTCGAAGCGAGGGTACTGTGGCCTTGGCTAGGGCCAGGCTGCAACGCCAAGCTCGCGAAACTCAGTCTCCAAAACATTGCACCCATAAAGCCCGGACCCTAAAGCACACCATGCAAGATCATAAATCTTCGACGGCCTGGTGGAGAGATCGAAATGGATCACAGGCGCGCAGAAGTGGAATGCCTGCCGCCACAGTGAAGGGTGACGATGAGGTGCTTCGGTCATGGGCAAGGGACCAAGCTCCTCCATGCAACTCCCCAACATGGACAGAACTCGGATGCAAGACCCTGCCGAGGAATTCTGGCCTCTGTGTTTGAAGTTGGCCGCAAGATATTGCCTTCCACACCAAGCACGGACCTCAATGAGCTCAGTGGAGCCATGCAAGAACGATGCGATGCAAGACACACACAGCCCCGAAATAAATATGGTTTATGTCCTCAGTCAGGAGAGCACTGAGTTCCCTGCAAGATTTGGCCGACGAAGTTGTGGCCGGCGTGGACCATCAACTGGCTGCAGCTCTTATTTCGAGGGGTCTTGGCGAGGGAGTTGGGTGAGGTGCACCGTGCTTGCTCGCTACACGTCACTACACAGAGCGACACACAAGCCTGAGACTGGAAAGGGACTAGTTCTTGTGCGTAGTTCTACTCCGCCACGCGCCGAGCTCTCCGTGCATTGCTGTGTCCCGCATGCTTGGACTTGCAAGCACCAGAAGAAAACAGATCAGGGACGCTGCATCCGCTGAGTTCAGCTCACCCATCAAACGAGCTCTCGGACGCCTCCATGGTGCCGTTCCGAAGCATGTCCAGTCGCGGTGCAATGGAAGGCAGCGCGCTGACCAACATGTGGTACACACCGTACCTGAAGCAGGATGTAGCCGATACAGCGTTGAGGGTTTAGCATGACTGGTAAGATCAACCTGGGCCCTTTCACTCCAGAACTCTCCGGAACAGATCCAGGTCCCTCACCACACATCAAAAGTCAGATGCAGCACAGGCAGCTCCTGCAGCAACAGGCATCTGACCATCTCTCGCGACGCATCAACCAAAGCTCTTCAGCAGACTCAGAAGCAGTTTGGGTGAAAACCCAGTCCCGCTTGGGCACGTCCACTTGCTGGGAATGTTCGCGCAGCCTAGTCAAATTCACCTCAATTGCAAGTTAAAGACTTAACAGTCTCATTCATTCATGACCGCGCTGTGCACTGCAACTCACTGCAAGACAACTGCAAAGCAGCTCACTCAACAAGATGATGGAATGGATCGACTTGGAGGTGGACTTGATCATTGATAACGCGCGGGCAGAACTCCGGGGCATCCGGGCAAAGCCTGAGATATGGCCAAACTCTCAGAACAAAGCCATCGACTAACTGTGCTGCTACGTCCTCGCAACATCCCCCACATAAGCGCCGCACACGTACGTCCGGTTGTCTTTCCGCCGGGCATACAAGGCACCATCCTGGAACAGAGGCTTGACGAGACTTGCCTGCTTGACACGTAAATGCATTCTTCCCCCGCCTTCTCTCCTGGACCCAAGAAGAAACAGCCGTCCTGCACCGTGCTCGAGATGGCTCAAGGGTAATTGAGCATCAATGCGCCCCTCACCCCTCCCCTCCTCACCCTCACCCCTCGCCTCCCCTCATGCCCCCTCGTCCCCCTCCCCACACCCCCGCCCCCAGTGAGTAGCAATCACAACAGCAAATCTTGTTTAGAACGGCACTGACAGGGAATAGGACGATCAGTCAATGAAGTAGGGAGGGGAGGGGGTCCAAACAAGCACAAAGATAGATGATGCTTCATCACATATTGTGGATGGTGGCGTTGCTTGGCGCATGCTGTGTTATCACTAGTATGTACATGTAGTCCCAACTGAAAATGCCGCGGTAAAGGGTTCATATCAGAAATGACAAGACAAAACGGATGCATGAACTTGAAAGAGCACAGAACAACCACCACAATCAGACCCAGGTCTCCTTGAGGGAGCCGCTAATGACATGCGGAACTGGCATTCCCAGGGGTGGTCCCCACTTGTCCAAGTGAGGCCTCAAGAGGCAAATCGACTCGAAGAATCATTTCACGGCGAGCCCAGGCAATCAAGGTGACCGCTGTCATGTGCAGGCTCTTTTCAAGTGAGTCGTTGACGGAAGCTGGGGGAACGTATGCCATACCCAGGATGGATTCCCATTCCTGCACAGACAGCGGAAGTCGGCGCGGCAATTGACGGCGGAAAGCCCTTCAATGTCCTACACACGCTGGGGATCACGGGCTGAGGCGCTTGCAAAGTCACTGTTCCAGGTCTCCATGAGCGTGGAAGCCGCTTCTGAGCCTGGAGTCGCTCCCAGGTCTTGGGAGACAGTGATCAAAGCTGCTCAAAAAAGTTGCCTCCTCGCATGCCGGAGTAACAGAATACAGCACAACAGGTCCTCACACCAAAACCATCCCCGGGTCAAGTGGGCCTGGATCTGAATCTTGGGAGGATCAGGCATCACCTCGCACGTCCGTGACGTGGTGACTTACTTTATAGGTGGACCCCTCCAGGGTGTTTGCAGACAACTGCAACAAGCAGAGGCCACGAACCAGTGCCCGAAGCAACCACAGCAGTTTAAGTCCAACCCAGCCTTCCACATTGTGAAGGGGAGCACTGCGGGATCGCTCTTTGTCTCCTCAACAACTCTGTCACCTGCCGAGACTCCACGCAAAGACGCAGCCCCTGCCGTGCTCAAATCTGCAGATGCGGATGGAGCTACGAGTATCATCTCCCACTCGCTAGCTCGGGGCCTTCTTTTTTGCGAATCTTTAGAACGGACAGGTACTCGGTGATGTACTCCTTTGGTACCTAAGCACAAGCATGTGAAAACCATGTTCAGCACCAAAGCGCCTCAGAAGCTTTCTCCGTCGATCGAGCTGAGGTTGAGGCGTACAGCTTCGGATCGGAGGTGAGATGCAGTCTCGAAATGTTGCCGGGCACGAGCACACCGCAGTCCTCGTCAGGTCAAGCGATCATGCTTGACTGTGAAAGGCGCACGTTGTACGGTCCTGCCAAGGACTCAACAAGCACCGTTGTATCCTAAGCATGACGCCTTCAAAGGGTTCATGTCCAGGATGTTGCACACGAGAGATGGGGTCCTGAGCACGTGCATTCTGAGTTTCGAGAATGCAATGGCAATATTGCTTCGATGAAGCACTGTCAAAACCCCGGAACTGGCTGGCGCCGGCGGACACTGGCCACCGGTTTCAACCACGAAAATGCAGGTAGGCAGGTGGCTGCGGGTAAAGAGGATAAACCGCGACGGTGACAATGGCAGGCTTGGTCGTACATACCGTTTGCGCTGAGGCCGTCACCCATAGGGACCAAGCCCAGCCGTGGCATTGTCCCACAGAACTCGCTGCGATGGGATTTTGCTGGGTTGCCCAGCGTTGCTCACGGCCTTGGGTCTGTGCACTGCTCCGTTGCTGGGCCATCCCTACGAGCGCAAAGTACCACAAGACAAGTCACCATAGTGAGGCTTGCCCTGCTTTTGCGGGCCGAGACTCAACTAAGTGATCACGGGTTGGGCGTTGGGGAGTAACTGCTCTGGCCACGACGCAACCGCTGCTTGTCCAGTTCTACACAGCTGCAAAGCAGCTTGTAAAGTTGTAAAGCTGCAGATGCCGAGCTGTGCACAAAGATGGCCGGACCGCGAGCCCAAACGAGAACCTTCGCAGAAAGCTTGCTATGGCATCACTCCAAAAGCGCGGTTTCTCGGGGCCTGGTGGTCCATGTAAACGGGAATGGATTTGAAGGCATGGAGGCCGTTGGTGCGCTGCCGGACCCACAGCACCTCTGCATGAGGAATGAAAAAAAGCCGATATCGGAACACGCAGACAGTTCAGGATATTTGTGCTATTGATGCGATGAACTCCCCGGATCTGCAACAGTCAACTTCAGCTGCCTTCTTGATGAGCTGGTAGGTTGAGGTGGATGTGTTGTAGCCTCGCATGGACGCTTGTACTACGCTTGTGCTGTGTCCGTTGGCCTAACAACAGCTTTGTGCAAAGTCATGGGAAGTGGGAGGCCCCGGCCGTGATGCCACAAAGGCTGCCTCCAGTTGTCCACCTTCCACAACTGGCTTGCAGAGCGGGAATACTCGCCAACCATCGCACAAAGAAACTAAGGGCATTTTTTGCTTGCCCAGACATTAGCGTGCTACTGTGCATGATGATGGCGGCCTTCAGCGGATCGGAATAATTCAGACCTCGGACACGCAAGCAGCTGAAGAGCCTCTTGCCTCTTGCGGACCAACCTGTGTCTGTCCACATATGGGTCTGCCTGAATCCTGCATGCAAGGCTTCATGCACACAGAAACTTGAATCCTGGAAGGATGCCTGACATGGACTTCCTTGGGATCATCCCATGAAGAAGTAATTCTAAGATGCAGGCGCCCACGAGCATTCTGCTCCGAGCCGAAGAGAAGGGCCGGCAATCCCTCCATGCCCATCATCTCAGCTCAGCTGCTGATGACAGCCACTCGTTGATAGCCCACCAAGCTTGAAGAAATGACATCCTATTGAATCCTCTGCCGAGGTCACAGAACCCGGAAAGGGCTGTAGGATGCGGTAGGAAGTGCAGCACAGCACTGAGCAAAGAACCGACAGCAGTGCATTGTGGTAAAGCCTCGGCTTCAACTTTCCTGAAATAATGCATATGGATTATATGCTTACCAAGTCTACCGTCAGCCGCTGCTGGGCCCTTGTCCGGGCTCCTTGCGCCAGCATTGTTGCCTCGGGCACGCCGCCACCCTCGCCGATCCGATACAGAAAGCGTGGCCTTAGGGCTATCAGACCAGGATTGGCTGCAGGACCGGCTGATTGATGGCGCGTAGAGGAAGAGGTCTTGCACAACAGCGCCCTTTTTGAAGGCACTCTCTGCCTAGCTTGCAAGCTGTCGAGTCGGGGACAGGTCGTTGTTGTCCAAGAAGTTCAACATCAGGCGGCCCTGGCGGCAACGACACAAACCCAAGCCTCTGGTCCATCTGAGCACGTGTATGTCCTTTTGGAGGGACTTAGGAGGAACTTCAGTTGGGTGCTCTGCTTGCACAGCAGATTTACGCATGCTTTACTCAACCATGGCAAGCTGATGTCTCCTGCCGTAAGCGGGAGATTTTGTCCTACCCAACTCGTCCCTCAAACTGATCGCATCCCGCCTGAGCCTTGGGCGACTGCTTGACGATCCAATCGCCGAGGGCAGACATAGGCTTCTGCTTCGGGCCAGGAACGAAGATGTCCTGCTAGTGCATAGGTGAGAGGTGGACTTGGTGGTTCGCCCTTTGCAGTGCATGTTGTATGGCTCGTGTGCAGCATCTACTCGGCTGGGTAGGTCCTTCAGCACAAAGTAGAGAGGATAATTGTAGACTGCCCCGTAATCTCCGGTGGCGTAGCCCGAGACGTAGGCCATGTCTGTGTTCACGACCTTCACAGACGGGAAGGTATGCTTTGCCGCATGGCCCCGCATTGCTGTCGATTTACAAGCCGCCACTTCTGCGAAACTCATGGCAACTCAATGGGAAGGAAGGGCAGCGATTGAAGCAGTGTTCAGCCAAATCGTCCTAGGCCAAATCGTCTTAGACTCCTAAGCCATTAAACACCCCCTTAGACTCGTGCCTCATAATAGGCAGGAATCGGCGGGCCAGTCTCCGGGATGTGGTTCAAAAAGTTCCTGTTCATGGTCTTAGGGCCCCCAAAATGTGTTCTGGGTGGTAGGATGCCCATCTGTCAGACGGGCTCACTGTCAACAACATCTACCTAGGGCAACTGGGAAACATAAAGGTAAAGTTGAAGGCCAAGCCTCTTCGCACAAGATCTTCCAAGGTCCGCACAGCACAAAATGCAAACAACCCCAAACCACAACTATCAGCATCGTCTTCGGGCAGGAGGCTGATCATCTTGCCAGAGAATTGCTTCTTTGGAGAGGATTCCTTGAACTAATTTTTCTGTCGGTCCGGTCCTGTTGATGTGTCTTGCGGCATCCACGCGAATACCGTCGAACCCGTACTTGTCCACATGGTCTCGCCTCTGCTTCGGGCTAGCTGTATCGGTGCGGGGTTCCCAGTGTTAGGTGGCGTCAGATGACCACTTCACACTCCAACGTGGTGAGGCGTGGTGCATCAATAAACGTGCTGCTAAGCTGCACCCACTGCATCAGGCCCTGCCACACCACCGGATTCTCGTGGTTGAAATCCGGCAGCCCGTACAGCTTGCAGTCTCAGCGCACGGCTGTTTCTGAGGAGAACAGTCAGGTGAAGATAGCACGAAGAAGACCCGGCATGTCATTCGTCACTAAAATATGGAAACCCTGAAATACGTTCTGCGATCAGGCATGTCGGAGCAGGTTTCACTCGATCCCCCTTCGTTTTCGCAATGCAAGGCATCATACACTTTTCATGACATGTCTCTGGTCCTGCAGACCTTCTAGCTCAGCCTTTGGCGCTCGAGGAAGTAGGAGCCTCGTTCATAGTCGGAGTCGTGGATGAGGCCTGCAGCCGACGAGACAGTGGCAAAAAATCGTTCGCAGCAATGGTTTGAGCTCAGCCTTCAGCTTGTGTTGACTTGCGATCATGTTACGCAGATGCATCACGAATTTGTTGAAACAGCAGCCAGTAAAAACAGCAAGCTCTGAGATCACAGCTGCAGTTGTCTGAATGATAGTGCTCAGGCTTGTCAAAAGGCTTGAGGAGTGACCTGAAATGGACAACAGTGGCAGATGAGCGATTCCTCATGCAAGCTTAAGCAGGGACATCTTGGCCAGCTGCACATCATGAGGGTTGCTTGCGTTGACCTTCTGGGACCCTGCATGGTTCCTTGGCCGGTCTGACTCAAGAGCGATCGTTGCTGAAGCATGTCATGATGTCCCAGAACTCTGATGCTGCCAACGGGCATGTTCACATCAACGATGACCTTCATCTTCCGCTCATGGAGCAAGATCACCATCTCCCGCACATCTTCCTTTTCAACAAACGACGGGCTCATCAAGCTGCTCTTACATAGAGCCATTCGTAGTGCCTGCGCAGCTATTTCATCAGCAGTCTATTTGCGCTGTCCTCCGTGCCATAGGCAGGATTGACCTTGTTGAGGTCCTTTGTCCAGTAGCCATGGTAGCCGTGGGGCATCTGGCCACCAAGCAACAGCCGTCATACGGGTCGCTCAAACGCCTTCTACGAAGCTGCACCTGCGAACACAGAAAGAAAACTGACCACAGCCTGGTCCACGATCGGGGACAAAACGATGCCATCCACACCCAGCTCCTGCCATTTCTTTGCCACAAGATGCAATCTTGATCCTGGCAATTGCCAGAAGCCGGCAGCTGCTGTATTCCCGGCAGAGTTGAACTGCAGCCACCTCCAGGTAGCTGACTTTGTCCATGATACCAGGGATGCTTCCACCGCAGTACTCGTTCCTGAACACAGGCATACTTTAGACTCGTGCCCATCCAGATGCTCGTCCAGCAAAGCCGAATCCAAGGCAAGCAGCAACTTCTCGCAGTGTTTGGGCTTGGTCGTGGCAAAGCGATCGATCAGGATCTGATACATTGCCACCTGGCAACTCCACGCTGCATGTTACACTCCACGCTGTATGTCTCTTTTGCTCAGATGGCATTTGGCTAAACAAGGGCCCAAGAGATCACCAAAAAATGCGCCTGGGGCCAGGCCCAAGACCCGGTAGGGAGGTTGTTCCACTCCTTGAAACGAAGGGGGTGGCTCTCACAAACTGGGTGGGTTGAGAGCTCTAGTAAAAAATGTAAACAGAGTTTCAGGATTTTTTTTTTTTGGGGGGGGGGGGGGGTGGGGAGGTTTTCAGCCTTTGCAACTTGGGGCTTCGGGCAGGTTCAAAGCTCTCGTGGCATTTGGGGTTTCTGGGTTGTGCCGTGGCAGATGTGGCGGCAGCGGATGTCCTGCTGAGAGGTGTTGTCCGGCATGTCCCACCTCAACTTCGCAGATGTCTCCATGTCTGTGATCAAGTCTGTTTTTGCTGGCTGCTGCATGGATGTGACAAACACGCACAGTGGATGGGCGAAATGCAGAACACAGTTGCAGGTAGCAAGCAACCGGATGATGCGATTCCGAATTCCTTCAGACACTCGGGCTTGGGTGCCTTCGGATCTCTGGTCAACAGATGAACAGATGGGCTCCCTAGATGGGTAACTTGGATGGGCAACTTGGATTGGCATTTACGGCATTAGACCCCCACAGTTCCCCAAGACCGCGGCACGCTCCGAGTGAGAGCTCCGAGTCGGGAGGCTTCCTGCAAACGCTCGGAACAAGTGGAGCTTCAAGGTCTGCCTCCGTGTTAGCCACTGATTCCCCGTTTTGAAAGAAGATCAAACCGGACTTCCAACAGCCCGTGATGGCTGCTGGTCAGTGCCTGGATGTCGGGCTCATCTTTGTCCTGGTGGCAGGAATTCACAGGATTCTGAAAGCAGTCGTAGCGATTTTGAGCCTCAGAGAATGATATTTTAGCTGCCAGGCCAGGTACCCGCCCACCTTGATGTAGGTTTGGTTGAAGAGCTTCTTGTTACACGCGATCTCCCTGGTGCCGCAATACTTGCCGCACCTCAGATGCTGAGCCCTCGGAACATGGCTGCACTCGGAGCTGCGCGCCCTTGCATTGTGACCATTTTCTCCGTCTGAATCTTTGAGAGCGCAGCCACTGGCACTGGCTTCGATGTCCATTGCAAGTATCTTGGCCAGGGGGGGTCGAGGAGGGAGGTTACCGAGAGGCATGGGGTCCATGAGGGGAGCAGGTACTCTTGTGTAGCAAATTCTAGCATCATAGGCTAAAGGCCAGGCTTGCACTTTGGCTCAATGCAAGTCCCAGCGTGGGAAGATGCGATCACAGGAAACATCGGAAACATCCGGCTACCTGAGATTCGAGATCACGGCTGACATCTTCATGCCGGATGCAGCTGTCCACCTCGAGTGGCCACTCGCTGCAAGAGCTGTTCTGCCTGGCAGCTACCCCAGACATGGCCTGCATGTGGAAGAACTGCCAAACGAGGACCGTGTGCCATTCCTGCATCGCGAAGACGCAAAATCAAGCAAGGACCCTGCAGGTGACCCTTTAAGACGTTCTCAGATGTTTGGTCTTTAGTTGGCTCCTCGTTGCTGCTGCACTTCCCTGGAAAGCACATCTTCATGTTCCTAAGAGATGCACGGTGACACGAGTGAGCACCTTACGCAGCTTTGTGTATAAGGCGGCATATAGCTGACCAGTGGTGGCCTGCATGCAACGTTCGACTTTTGGGGATCTGGCGGAGGCTTCCCTGTCCACGAGCAGGAGTGCAGCACATTGTAGCCTCATCGCAGGTTCGACGATTGAATGCAAGCCCAAGACCTGGGGGGTACAAAGAAAAGATACCAGTACCAAGCGCACCTGTCGATTCCCAGCCGGTGTTGTGCAGCATGCCGCCGCCCACCTCTGAACAAAAAGAATTGTCAAATTGAGCTTCGGCAAAAGTGCCTCAAGTCTTGGAGCCCCACGCACGAGTTCCACTTCTTGTCCAAGAACCTCAGAAGAAGAAGGATGAAAAAGGATACCGCTCTCTGCCTTCTTGTGAGGGAGCTTTTTCCGGCGAGTCAGCTCCAAAACGACAACCCAAGAGCGCCCCTATTGATTACCAGGAGGCTGCAGCTTCATCTTGAACTTCTTGTTCTTGCAGTACTGGGTCAGGAAAGACCTGTGTCAAAATCGGCGCGCGCCACAGGCGTGTCACGCAACTGTGTAGCATCACAACATCGGACTGTAGATGTGGGGTCCGTGCTGCTCTGGCATCGCAAAGTGGTGCTGCTCATCTGCCAGCACCTTCCCAAGGATCTGAGCCGAACTGCGGGCTCGAAATATGCAGCTCGGACCGTAGGGGAACACTTCGGAGAGTGGTTCGGGACATAACATCGAAGTTCAGCCTGCAGGATGTGCGCCAATCGCTGCCCCGAAGGTGTGACCACCATGACACCTTACAAGAAGTCTGAACACTCTGAGCAGTCTGAGCAAAGAGAGCAGATGTCATCGTGCCCCTCCTGCGTTCATGAACCGTGAGTCTCCATCACCTGCAGGTGCCAAGAACGAGTCACCAGGGGAGGGGGAAGACTGAACACACAGCTCGTACAGCCTACGTGTGGACCACCACACGACATCCAAAGAACCGAGAGCCGCGCGCACCGCGCACAGCGGAGCGCTGCATTCCGCGAAGATCTTCCCGGGACCTTAGACGCTACTAAAAGACAGACAGAGAGAGAGAGAGAGAGAGAGAGAGAGAGAGAGTGAGAGAGAGAGAGAGGAGCGAGAGAGGCAGAGGCTTCTGGGGCCTTGGGGGGCATGGGGCCACTCGATTCTTGCGCTTGTGAGGTCATTGAGTCATTCGTTCATTGTGAGCTGCACTGCTCCTGACTCTTCAAGGCTGCGGCTCTCTGCATCGACATCGAACACCATGTCCGTGTCCATCAATGCAACTTGGGAGTACTCGGTCATCCGCCAGACCTGGGCCAGTCAACGTGGGAGTGAGCGTTAGGTCCGCGAGGTGACAGCAGGCAGATTGAGACAAGGGAGTCACCCATGTGGAGCAGATCAGGAGCGTGCCGCGAACTTGTTCATGACGCCGCTCCACCGTTGATGGATGACCTGGGTCAGAAGTTCAGAAGCATTTAGAAGCATTTAGAAGCATTTAGAAGCGCTGGACATTTCTAGCTTCGGCACGTCACCTGCAGGGGGCGTTTCCGTAGACCCCGGTGCAGCCGAAGCACGGGGTCCGCATCCATGACCACAGGCATGGGGATAGGATCCGTGTAGTAAATCTTAACCTCAGGTCGACGACCCAAGACGACCCAAGATCGGAGGCAGAAGATGTCAGAGGCTTAAGAATCTTAAGAGCGTCTCTCTGGAGGTCTGAGGTGGCTTTGGCCCGGACCCCATCGCGCATCAGGATCTCCAGGTGCAGCTTGGGGGTCTTGTCCTTTTCCATTGAGAGCTGCTCAGTCTCAAGTGCCAATGCCCTATAGGTGCTCGATAGGTTTGCCCGGGCATGGCACGACCATGTTCTTGGGCACAATCGCCAGGATGTCCTGATCAATATTTGGCCCTTCGGGCTTGACAGCAACTTTGGTAAATGTTGTCCGACTCAAGCTTCTGACGGGATAACCATGTTAACAAAGTAGCACGGCGCATAGTGAGCACACGGATGCCTGAATTGCTCCGGCGGCCCTCATCGACTTCACAAGCACTCGCACCTGGGACATGCAGCACTGCTTGTGACAGAGCTGCGCAGACTGCCGTGCCGATGGTCTCTTTTGCTGGCAACAAGCCCAAAAATCAAAACAGGCTCTGTGAAAGCTGAGTCCCGCTGCCGAGATCAAATTTTCAGAGCTGTCCCCATAGAAGAGAAAGGCAAACGCCTGGTGCTGCAGCCAGCTTCAAACTGGCTTCGATAGCAACCCTCACCACAGCGAAACATCGGCATGCAAAGCCAAATACCTGGAACCCTGTCGGCACATGGGGACCCAGCGGGGATTTCTACAAACTCACGATTCATGCCATCTATGCCATCATGTACCTCGGTGGACTTGTCGCAGTGGTCTCCGCCTCAGCGGTTGACGAGAGGTTTCGGCTACTCACTGCTGTCGTGGGCCTGCGGGAATTCACCCAACTGAAACGATGGGTTCTTGTCACGGGCGAAGAAGAAAACAGATCAGCGGAGCACAAGGAGGTGAGAGCATCTGTGGAGCGAAAGTGACGAATAAAAAAACACATGGACAAGAAGAGCCCATCAAGCAGCAATCTTAAGAGTAGAAGTACTGCTAGGCTGCTAGGACCCCCCTACTGTCAGACTATCAGGCTGAGAGCACCGAGAGCTGGGCCAACACCGAAGTCACAGGTGCATTTCCCCCAGCGGCAAGTACCTCGTCCACACCTGCCCAAGAAAGCTAAGACTCGAGCTGGAGAATGTTGCGCGCAATCAGATTACAAGAGAATATGCGCTGGATGTTCCGAGCAAGACAGCTTGAAAGCGCGTATTCTGTGCTTTGAGGCCGCAGCGACATGGACTCACAGAGGGTGTCATTCCTTAGAACAAGACATGAACAATCAAGCACCGTTCTGCCCCAAGAACACGTCTGCGAATCGACTTCGAAGCCCTGCTGGTGCTTCTACTGTGCTTGCCAAAAGGCCTGCAAGTGCCATCCAGAGATCCAGCAGAGCGGAAGCAGATGGAGTTCCCAATCTGGAGCCAGGGGGCAACTCACAGTGCCATCTGAAGCCTGGACATATATGATCATATACATAGTCTGCCTAGTCTAGCCGGCTTGGGGCCCCGACGTACGAGGGTTCTCCGCTTTCCCCCTTAGCGTGGCTGATGGTCTTGCACTGCTCGTCCTGCAGTGCCGAGTTCGAGGACAGTGGGCTAAGTTTGCAAGGTCACAGACTATGTGAAAGTGGCAGGGCAGGGCTGGCATTGTCCAACTGACAGCTGTTCATTTTCGTTTGTACTCATCCGTCTCCGCCTGCCTCCCGGCAGTAGCCAGGCCATTTCTTCATACACTGGCCTTTGACCTTCACACATCAGAAGTCTATTGAAGGCCCTGAATTCAACGGACATGCTTCAGGCATCAAGAAGCACGGCAGGGGCGGTCTCTGTCCGCTCAGGGATCAAGGCAACGCTCGCAGCTTGGTGCCTCCCATCCCTTCGCATTGTGCGTGTCGATCTCGGTGCCAGCTTTGCCTCGGAGCTGCCAGGCCGACTCCCCCCTGCGATACCCTGCGATGCTCGGCCAAACCCCCAGAACCCAACCTCATCCGAAAAATGAGCTCTTGGGAGCGCGCAGAACAAAGGGCAGTATGCCTCATCTGCGTCCTGCACCGAAGCTACCGGACACCTACAGCGTCCCGGTGCCATTTTTGTTACTAGCATCCCCAAGACTGACACCCAAGAACAACACCTACCAATCCATAGTAGGATCCCTACTACATACCCTCAGCCTTGCACGAACAATGAACAAGTTCGCTTCGGCTTCCAACCGAGAGGTGTCTAGAACAAGCAGGCCAGGATGTGGTCTCCGTCCCCCTTTCCCAAGCCAACCCCCAGCCCTCCCCGGATGCCCTCCTAGGTTTTTTCCTGGGACCGTTCCTGCAGCGCGCGCGAGCGCTTCCAATTGAACGTCTCCTGCTCTGCTCTGCTCTTCTGTTTAAGGGCCAGGCCTCAGAGCAGCAATCCTCCTCGGACCAGCACACGCCGCCTTCGCCAGACACGACCCGCTTCGGAATGGCGGAGGCAGCATACGCCTGGGGACATGCGGACACACTGTCTCAACTCTGCAACATGACCTACCTTTCAAACATGTTGCTTGGGTCTCAGCGCTCACCAAACCCCACCAACCCGACTCAGCATGCGCACGCTCATGGCCTCGACATGGATCACCTCATGCTGTACCTGACAGGATTTTACACAAACTTCGTGCCGCACTGAGAGACACTGCGGAAAAGCAAACTCTCGCCTTGGTTTGCAGGAGCTGGAAGTCTATCGCTGCCAGCTCATCCGCTTCCGCGAGCTCCACATCGGCCTGACCATGCTCGAGACCCTTCAAAAAAGATTCCCAAACCCAAGATCCCCACAACGTACCCCAGAACCACCAGTCCGCCTCCGATGTCGCCCGACATTCGCCGGAGGGGCAAATGGCCGCGCCTTGCAGAGGGCGATACAAAGTGGCTCTGGACGCATGATCTCTGTTTGAGCCTTGGCAACCCAAAATCAATGCAACCTACGCAGGTCGCAAACAAAAACTGGCGCAGTCATCACACTAACCACACGCAGGCGCAAACTATTCTCGGTCCAAGCTCGGCCCGACGGAAAATGGGCATGGGCATGGACAGAAAATGGCAAACAAAGTGCGAGTGCCGAGGAGGCCCGGCGGTACGGGTCGAGGCAATCGAGGCAATCGAGGCGTTGAGCACTCAGGAACTTGCCATATCTGTGAGCAGGATCGTGCTCGTAGCCGCGTTGCTGCAAGAAATACGGGCTGTTTTCGGCCTGAAAGGAAACCTCAATCCCAGCATGGACAGGGAAGAGGTGACGGAGTCCGACTGCCGCTGGAGGCCCGGCTAAAGAACCTGCGCAGTATGTGCCTCTGCGAGGTCTTTGGGTACGGGTCGAGGCAATCGAGGCAATCGAGGCGTTGAGCACTCAGGAACTTGCCATCATCTATGAGCAGGATCGTGCTCGTAGCCGCGTTGCTGCAAGAAATACGGGCTGTTTTCGGCCTGAAAGGAAACCTCAATCCCAGCATGGACAGGGAAGAGGTGACGGAGTCCGACTGCCGCTGGAGGCCCGGCTAAAGAACCTGCGCAGTATGTGCCTCTGCGAGGTCTTTGGGTACGGGTCGAGGCAATCGAGGCAATCGAGGCGTTGAGCACTCAGGAACTTGCCATCATCTATGAGCAGGATCGTGCTCGTAGCCGCGTTGCTGCAAGAAATACGGGCTGTTTTCGGCCTGAAAGGAAACCTCAATCCCAGCATGGACAGGGAAGAGGTGACGGAGTCCGACTGCCGCTGGAGGCCCGGCTAAAGAACCTGCGCAGTATGTGCCTCTGCGAGGTCTTTGGGTACGGGTCGAGGCAATCGAGGCAATCGAGGCGTTGAGCACTCAGGAACTTGCCATCATCTATGAGCAGGATCGTGCTCGTAGCCGCGTTGCTGCAAGAAATACGGGCTGTTTTCGGCCTGAAAGGAAACCTCAATCCCAGCATGGACAGGGAAGAGGTGACGGAGTCCGACTGCCGCTGGAGGCCCGGCTAAAGAACCTGCGCAGTATGTGCCTCTGCGAGGTCTTTGGGTACGGGTCGAGGCAATCGAGGCAATCGAGGCGTTGAGCACTCAGGAACTTGCCATCATCTATGAGCAGGATCGTGCTCGTAGCCGCGTTGCTGCAAGAAATACGGGCTGTTTTCGGCCTGAAAGGAAACCTCAATCCCAGCATGGACAGGAAAGAGGTGACGGAGTCCGACTGCCGCTGGAGGCCGAAGGCCGAAGAAAGAATGTGAGCCACCGTAAGATCTGTAGGCATGGGCCGCACGCGCAAAGGATGCTAGCGGCGACATGGCAGCCTGTTTAGAGGTTCTCAAGCAACAGAAGTGCTAGGGTCCCAGCTCGCCACACTGGCCTCGGAGTTACACAGAGGCTTGCTTTTCAAAGAACTGTCCGAGGAGACTGACCGAGGCCTACCCCGGTTCTCCCATGCTTCAAAACAGCAAAGAAGTGTCCTGCCATGCTCTTACACATGCTTTTTCCCGTGAGTGCCGGACAGTCAAAAGTTGGAGAAGAAGTTGCATATGTAATTTGCCTGGGGTCAACGGACTTGGCAGAGTGCCGGAAATCACCCACTTGTCGGTGGCCTTGCATCGTGGGCAAGTGCACCTTAGCACTTCAAAGATCCAAAGGAGAACTTTGAGAAGAGGAGGAAGAAGAAGAAGCGGTCACAAGGACTATCAAAGACTGCACTGCAGAATCACCGTGGAGCTTCGCCGAGGCACTGAGGGATGAGATTTCCCCTCAGGACCCCCGCTGCAAAAGAAGAGCCGTCGCAGCAGCGAAGGACACATCATGTGCGCACATTAACATCACTTTCAACTTCTCCAAGCCAGACTTTGTCTAAAGCGACCTGCAGCAAACCTACATCCCAGGGGGGCAAAGCTACACGTGGTTCAAACTGCAGCTCGAGACAGGGCAGCGCCGACCTCTTCACCGTGGGCGCTGGGCCTGCGGCGGAACAAACTTCGACTTACTTGGCCTGGCATCTCCGCGAACTTCGGATGTGCTCAGTGCACTCCCCCTTTCATGTTCGATCTGCGCGAGTTCACAACCGCACGGAGAATCCCGCCAACCATGGGCCATTGAGTTAACGCTGTCAACATTCATGAAGGCGCCTGTGTGCATACGCATGGCGCTGGGCAACTTCTGCGGCTGCAGGAGCTGGGCCTGAACATCTCAAAGGCCGACGGAGACCAAAGCATGAAAGACCAAGCGACCGAGCATGCGAAAGCATTCTCAGGAACCACTTCGGCACACCACTTCCATCCCACAAAGGCACCCAGGGGCCTCGATGGACTTCACCACATCACTGGGTGTCGGCCTTGAGGCGGCCTTGAGTCACTCTTCACGGCTTGGGATATGAGCTAGCAGCTAGCTCACACCAACTCCGAGAAGCAGGAAGCCAGGACAAGATTTAGGCACGGTGCTTTAGGTGTTTTACGTGTTTTGTAGGGCACAGGCTGGACCCAGCATTCGGCAGTGCAGGTGGGGATCCAGTCCTCGGAAGCTGGATCAAAAGATAACAGCTGCTTCTTTCAACCAAGGCTGTTCCAAGTACGATTTACCATCTACCTCAGGTGATCGGATGCGGATTCAGGGGAAGTACAATGCCGAGGTTGGCGCCAAGCATGCTGGTGTCAATGATCATGGCCTGCAGACTTGCATGCATTCTTGGCATGCGCTGTGTTTCAGTCGCATGAAGCTGCTGCAGGGCCATGAGCAGCCCAGTCAAATTCATAGCCTTACCGGGTGGTGGCAGACACGATTTTCAACACAAAAAGACGTTTGTATGAGGTTGTATAGATGGTGTGTTGCAACTATCTTCATGATCGTTATAACTCATAATGTGTTTTTGAGTTTTAGTCGTGCGTGTGGAATCTGTATGAACTGTAAAAAGATGTCATCTGTCCCGAGCATCCCCATCTGTGCCCCCCAAAGAAACACACGACATAACACAACAGCCGCACCTCCACTGCTTTGAGGTCCTTCCCGGCACCCGCATGCTCCATCTCGCTGAGGCGCTGGCGCGCCTGCCGGTGTGCGGAGTGCAGAGTGTCGAATACACGAGCAGCTGGGTCCCACGAAGCTGTGGCGGAGCCACAGTTTGCGTGGTCACGTGAAGTCGGAAGAAAGCCACAGGCATCCACAGGCACTCAGCATGTCACCTTCACCGATTCAAGACCGTCACGCGCCTCTGTTCGTCCGATGGTCAAGTGCAGCGCAAGAACCCCCAAGGAGAACATGTCGAACGAATGAACCTGAAGGTGCCATAATGTACAAATAACGCGCAATATCGAGATGATGCCCGGGATGGGGTGCATGTGGGCAGTCTCCGAATTGCTACCAGCTTGTATGTGATGTATGTGTAATGATGTGTGATCATGCGGTGGAGGTCGAGGCTCCAGCTGGCTTCTCAAAGTTCAACGGCGGGCCAAAGCCTCAAAGAGGCTCCAAGGCTCCAAGCGGTCACGGTGATTCCGGGATTTTTGTCCCCGGACTGAGGACCGACATGGCTCTGTTGGCTTTGTGCTCTGCTCTGGAACCCCTCCAGCCCCCCGAGGTTGCGTCCATCAGCCGCATTCCGCACCTCCCATGGAAGCCTGTCAGTGAGCACGTGAACCGGGGGCAGCTTACGCCGTGTTTGCGTCGTGTTACGTCGTGTTGCCAGCTGCTGAGCTTCCAAAACGCTTGCACGCAGCCGTCTCGCAGAGCCTATCAGGAAGAGTCCTACTATGTTCCCATTCAGATGCCTCTGACCTCTGACATTGCCTGACCGTGATGAAGGGTCTAATCCGATTAATCCGCTAAGCTGAACGTTTCATCGATCCCCCAAGGCGTTGCGGCTCCAAGACTTGTCCTTCTCCTTCAACCAATAGCAGGTTTGGACTGAGGATTACTGAGGCTCATCTGGAATCCTACAACGGCATTTTATCTGGATGGCACGAGTTCAAGCCTCTAGCTTATGTATACCGTTTTGGGGTTCAAACGGGCCCACATGGGTGGTCGAGGAATGCTAGCACAAGGCCTTAAGTACATGATGGGCGCACCAATCGTAGCGCCGTCGCTTCTCTTCGGTCTCACCACGCTTGCGGAAGGCCTTCGCACCATGGTTGGTTCCATTGTGTGGCAATGCCGCCCCTTGAGCTTTGCTTTCAAGGCGGCCTGGACGGCATCGTTCGTGTTTGACCTTGGACGAAAATGAAAATTCGACGGGCCAGTCTGAAACCAATCGGTCTGCGATTCGAGATGGACGACTTGATGTGCAACGTGTCTGAGCATGCAGCTGCTGCCAATCCTCATCCGTGATCATGACGCCAAGGTCCAGAACCTACGGCCAAACGAACACAAAAACAAACGGCGGCTGATAAGACGAAAGCGACACAGGCAACGGAAGCTGACACGACCACGTTTTCCTGCCGCCGTGCACAATGAATGACAGCGTCCTCAACAAGAACCACCGGTCACTGCAAGAAGCAGCTCCCTTCCTCGCTCCAACTGGTGCCGCAGGTGCTAATTCTGATTCTTAAAAAAAGAAGAATGATCGAGGCGTCGCGCCTCAAAAGAAGGGCCAGGGCTTGCCGGTAGCGACCGCTTGGGTCACGATGCCGCTAAAGGCGAACATGGCAAGGCGTCCATTCTCCAACTCCTTCAGGCGCATGTCCTTCTCCTTCGCAGGATCCTTGGGCAGGAACTGCTTGCCGAGCCAGTAGTCCCCTGCGTCACGGTTGATGCCCTCTCCGAGCGGCCAGGACTGGAAGAACAGCCACAGCGAGAACAATTCGAAGACACCAACCGCACCCAAGAAGGGCAGCATGTAGCCGGCTTCGACCATCTTGTCATGGGCCTCGACGCTGTTTGCCACGGCCTGGAACTTCTCACCGGGGAATCGGAAGCCCAAGTCTGTCGCAATCCATCCAACCGTCGCGAGCATGCAAATGCGTCCATGCTTCAGTTCAGCCTCGCGCACCCAGTAGACGGGCAGCGCGTCGGTCACACCGAGCGGATCGAAGCCCTTCTCCTCACCGACCCAGCCTTTGAGGACCTGAGGATACCTCAAAAAGGGCACGGAGGGAGACATCTCCATCTCCTTGGGGTAGGTCTCCAGCTCAACGTAGTCGCCCTCAGCCAGCTTCTGGATGGCATGCATCGTGGTGCGACCAGTGCGACCGCTAGGAAGAGCGCAGAGGTTTGGCTGCCTGCAGAGGCCAATGTTTTGAACAATGAACTGCACAGGCTCACCCCAAAAGCCGTTCTTGTTCATGTAGCTCAGAGGAGCTTCGCCGAAGGTCCCATCCTGCCACATGAGGCCCATGATGGCGACCATGGCCAGGCGGCCGTTGTTGCGCTCGGAGGTCAACCTGCGCTCCAGCTCCTCGTCGTCAATGCCGTCAAGGAGCTCCGTGCCGTTGCCAAAGTCGAAGCTGCCCAAACCACCCTCGCGAGGCTTCACAAGCACCTCGTGGGCACCGACCAAGGCAAAGAGCTGGATCCAGCCTTCTAAAGGGATGCTTTCAAATGCTCCAAGCCCGTGCTTGAAGTCCTCGCAGCCGGGAAAGCGGAAGATTTCTGGCATAATGTAGCCAACAACTGCGATCATGGAGACTCTGCCGTGCTTGATCTCCACAGCCGTGTATCGCTCCATCTTCGCGTCGGTGTCGCCCAAGTTCAGGGGGTCAAACTTTTCCGTGAGCGGCATGCACACACCGACCACGTTGCGCTCCACACGGCGCGGCGCTGGGCGGGCGCGGAAGGCTGTGGCGCCAGCGACAACCGCAGCGGTTGCCAAGCCGGCGGTGGCCCAGGAGCCGGACGACGCTGATGCCGAGGCCGAAGGAGCCACCGACGAGGCCGAGGCAGAGGCCGAGGCCGGCGCGTTGCCCCTGAGGCTTTGGCCGGCTGGCACGAAAGCCATGGCAGGGGCCGCGCACGCAGCCAAGGCGGCCGCAGATGCCCAAGTGCTCGGAGCCATGGTCACGACTAGAGGCTAGATCACAACCTTTGCCTAGCCCTTTTAAGCCCTAATCCTGAGCCAAGGGGCAGCCAAGGTAGCTTCGCGCAGCCACAAGGCAGGACATGCACACAAAGCGACACAGTGTAACACAGCTGAGCAAAGTTCGTCGGGCAGCAAGGCATGGCAAGGCATCCAGTCTGCCTTCAGCTTGCAGGGGCTGGTGTCCGTGGCGCGCTCGGCCAGGTGCATGTTGCCTTAACGAAGAACGAGAACAAGACCCTTATTCAAAACGGGATGTTTGTTGTTTGCTTGATTGTGTTTGGCGGGTCGACTCCTACGCCGCTGATCATCTCCGTCTGAGCTCGGGTCAGCCCCGGAAGTCTCGGTGTATCAAGCCAAAGGTCGCGAGATACCTGGAAGGCTTGTGTGTCTCCTGACGAGCTCGTTGGCCTCCAACCACATCTTTGACATGCGCGACATGCATGACACGTACGATGTAGGATTCAGGAATCGTGGGGCAAACGCCGAAGCGGGTTCGAGGCATCTAGAGCTAACAAAAAAAACGCTTTTCCGCCTTCTCGAACGGAGTCCGGCGAATCAAGTCTTACAACGGCAACTCAACTTGCACTAGTGAACCTGCTTCGGCTCACGAATCGTCTGTTTCCAACTTTCATCTCTGACTCGAACGTTCAGGGGCACTCGAGCGCTCTCGCCGCCTGCAAAAGGACCTGCGTTGCTTCGCAGCCGGCTCACCAGCACTGTCCAAGCAAAGATATCATGAGCTCAGATACAGAAAATGCGGAGGCCAGGACCAAAAAAACTCCTATGAAAGTTCACTTCTACTCTATGCCCATAGTCGTCTGAATGGCGAAAACCTGGAAAGGACGATTTCAGAGTGACTTTGCCCATGGAAAATAAGGGGGAAAACTACAGACTGCCAAATGCAAACTGCCCCCCCATCCTGCCTGGCGTTTCTCTTGAACATTCATGGGTGGTGGATCCCCCTGACATGATAGGACTGGTCATTTTTACTTGTCACATGTGGGACAGTACTAATTCTTACAGCATGCAATGTCTCAAGCGCTCGGTCTGTGAACACGCTCGCATGCAAAGCTGCCGTTGCAAACCGTTACAGCCCAGCGATCCTTTGCGGCATGATTGGATGGAATCCGCCTCAGCCAACTGTGAATTTCGCACTACTGGTTTTCCACCTCTCTCCTTCGCTTCTCGCGTTCACTTGGCAGGTCTAGGTGCTCACACGCCACTCTGTACACTACCAGTATTGGGCAGCCGTAACAAGAATTGGCAAATGCTGCAGGGCCCATGCCACTCCCGATCCATCGCTACATGCAGCGGTTCTCCTTCCACCTTGGGCCAGGGTCAAGCTGGCAGAACTGTTTCCCCGCAAAGTCTCCATCACAGGTGATTGCAGACATGTCTGAACAACCACTTCATCCCAACGTGGTCGGACTTACCTTCAACGCTCCGCTCACCACTGCCGGCCCTCCACCCCCCCAGAAAAAGAAGTCACAAGAAGTGTATGTGTCAGGCCAGTTCCATGACCACGTAGGGCGAAGCCACAGACACCGTCGGCCTTAGCTGTGGAAACTCTGGAGAGGATGGTAGCACATGATAGCTGAATGCGCAGAAGCAACGGCTGGCAGGTCCAAACCCCGGCCTCAGCCTACATTGGCTTCCGGCTACATGCGCCGCGCACCTTCCCCACGAAACCAAACTACGTGCAAAGGACCGGGGGTTCCGGCCCCTCCTTCTCCCAATCCATTCCTGGGCAGGGCTGGCCAGAGCGTCGCATCAGGATATTGCCGGCATTGGTGGTGTTGGTGGCGGCGCTGTTACTTTCAGCGATTTGGTGGTTACTTGCAGGACATGAACTACATGAACCCTGGCCTGGCGTCTCGAACTTCTTTCGGCGGGCATCAAAGTCTCCTGGCAGAAGGAAGAAATTCGAAGTCACAGTTCTCAGTTGCAGATGCCCATCTGGGATGCAAGCCTGAGCTGATCTCGCAACATTGCATAGTAGCCAAGCTTGAGTATTTGCAGCACACGACCCCAACGCAATTGCTTGATGGGGAGACGGATCTTCTTAACTAAGGGAAAGCAAGGCCACCTGGGAAGACCTGCAGCAGGCCAGTGTAGTCCTCGCACAGAATAGTTATACATCGTCCCTGTGCCACGCGAATATGATGAGAGATGTTGACAACATGCAGAGAACCGTGTTGGTATTGCGCCTCCAAGTAGCGAGCAAACAACTTGGCAGCAGATTCACCTGTCGCCACTAGGCATGGAGCACGCAATACAAATCTAGCCCGTGTGCTGCAATCAGAAAAGCTCGGTACCAAGCAGTATCTGCCATCCTTTGTGTTGTGCAACTTCTGCAAAGACCTCGGTGGTGCAGCAGTGAAGCATCCAGCAATCTGACGGGTCGCACAACATGCCACGGAAGATGAGGAGACAGAATGTTTGAGCAGTGAGGGGCGATGGCCAGGTCTCAGCAATTCACCATTGGCTTTCGCGGTGCATAGAGAAGCAATGTTGCTTGCCCCAGTATGCCTCGGCAAAGCATCAGAAAAAATCATGTTATCTCCATGGGAACTGTGCACTTCGCATGGAGACGCGAATCTCGATCTTCCCATTCAGCTCACCAGAGCGCCGTGCGCGCTGCGGATGTTTCAGCACCTGCAAAACGGTGTATATACTTTTCGGAGAACTGTGGGCTCAGCTTTGCAATTTGCTACAAGAATTTATGGACTGTTTCAAGCAGCGTGGCACGCCTAATGCAACCTAGTCCGCGGTGAGGCTCGAAGATGCTACTGTGTGCGCATATCGGTGCCGTGCATCTGCATAGGGCATAAACTCAGCGATGACAAACCAATCGCCTTGACTGCCACGTGACCAAGCGACCCGCAGCAGTCATATGCCCGGTAGACGACACCTAAGCACTGCACGAACGAGCGCGGTTTGTTAATCCACCGTGTGCTGCATGCTCGCCCAATGGGTGACTGTCTCGGGCAGGCAAAGGGCCACAAGGCTAGGTAAGCCTCGCACCCAAGCCGCCTTCCCCCAGTCTCGCCTGTCAGCAACAAACAATGAGTTTCTTGGTCACGTCAGATTGGCGACTAGCAACTTGTGAAGGCAATGAAGCTGCAAAAAACATACATGCACACATGCCAACAGCCATACAGACATACATACATTCATATAGACAGAACCTACACATGTACACACAAACACCCATACACACACACACACACACACACCCACACGCACACGCACACGCACACGCACACACGCACACGCACACGCACACACGCACACATGCACACACACGCACATACACACAGCACATCCATGCATAAACACATGCTTGTAACACATGCACACATGCACACATACAGACAGACATACATACATACATACCTTATGTATGTAAATACATCTGTATATACATTCATATAAACATTCTGAAAATATATATATATATATGTATGTATATGTACAATTCTATACATGCAACTACAAACACATGCAAACACGCAAACACATACGCGCGCGCGCGCACTCATAAACACTTGTGTGTACATATATACGCATTTCTGTCTAGAGTTTCAAACATCATGCAAGTTTGAGCTGCTTCTGAATTGTTCGAAATCGTTCCTCTACTGCAAGATTTCCACCGGGCGGAGAATTATTTTAGTACTCTTTTTTTTGTACTTTTTTTTTTTGGGGGGGGGGGGGTGGGAGGGGGGGGGGGGGTGGGGGGGGGGGGGGGGGGTGGGGGGGGTGGGGGGGGTGGGGGGGTGGTGGGGGGTGGGGGGGGGGTGGGGGGGAGGGGCTCCGCTTCTCTTGATGAAATTGGAGTTTTTCTCTGCAATTTCATAAGATTTTGGAAGGAAAACCAAGATTTCTTATGGTTGTGATCAGAATTTCATAAGAAAACGTACGTTTCTCGTGAATTTCACTGGAGTTTCATTGGGAAACGAGGATTTGTCAGGAATTGAATTAGATTCTAATAAGAAAACGTACGGCTTTCGTGAATGTACGTCTCTCGTGAATTTCAATAATTACCAAGAAAACGTACGTCTCTCGTGTATTTCAAGGGGGTTTCATAGGAAAACCCGGATTTCTAATCAAAGAATTCAATGAAAAAGCTACGCCTCTTGTGACTTTTTAGTGGGGTTTCATAGGAAAAATAGCTGAGTTTGAGAGGCAATCATCGTTCCTCGTCAAAGGAAAACCAGGATTTCTCATGAATTTCATTAGAATTTACGAAGAACACGGAGTTTCAGATAAAAATCGAGCTTGCTGTAGTATATAGGGTCTATTTGGAAAAAAAAAAAGCTGTTGTACTGTCCATACCATATTTACTATATATACTATATATACTATGTATACTATGTATACTATGTATACTATGTATACTATGTATACTATGTATACTATGTATACTATGTATACTATGTATACTATGTATACTATGTATACTATACATACTATACATACTATATGTCCTCTATATACTACATATACTATATATACTATGTATAATATATATATATGTATGTATGTATGTATGTATGTATGTATGTATTGTATATACTGTATCTACCATATATACTATACATACTATAATATTATATATATATATATACATATACATTATACTATACATGCTATATATACTATGCATACTATATATCTATATTATACATATATATATACTTTTTCCTATATACACTATACAATATACAAGTTTCTTGGGCTTTGAAGCGCGCTCTGCACGGCTTAAAACAAAAAAAAGCGGGGGGGTTGGGGGGGGCGCAGCCCCCCCCATTTGCAAACACAATGCTCACACGATGCTTTTCAACTAGTTTCTTGGGCTTTGAAGCACGCTTGGTACGGCTGAAAAGAAGCGGGGGGGGCGGGGGGTTGGGGCACAGCCCCCATCTGCAAACACCCTGCTCACATGATGGGTTTCAACTAGTTTCTTGGGCTTCGGCTGAAAAAAAGCGGGGGGGTTGGGGGGGGCGCAGCCCCCCCCATTTGCAAACACAATGCTCACACGATGTTTTTCAACTAGTTTCTTGGGCTTTGAACGGCTTAAAAGAAGCGGGGGGGGGTTGGGGGGTCTGCGCCCCCCATTTGCAAACACCCTGCTCACATGATGGGTGTCAACAAGTTTCTTGGGCTTTGAAGCGCGCTCTGCACGGCTTAAAAAAAGCGGGGGGGGGTTGGGGGGGGGCAACCCCCCCCATTTGCAAACACAATGCTCATACGATGTTTTTCAACTAGTTCTGGGCTTTGAAGCACTATTCATATATTCATATATTCATATATTCATATATTCATATATTCATATATTCATATATTCATATATTCATCTTTCATATTCATCATATATCAATATGCAATCTTCATATATTCATTTATTTCATATATTCAAGATTTCATGTCTATGCATATATTTCATATATCATATATTCATATAGGCAATTATTCATATATTATATATTCATATATTATATTCCTATATTCAATAGTCATTATATCATATATTCATATATTCTATATTAATATATTCATATATTCATATTTCATATATTCATATTCATCGGATATTCATATATTCATATATTCATATATTCATATATTCATATATTCATATATTCATATATTCATATATTCATATATTCATATATTCATATATTCATATATTCATATATTCATATATTCATATATTCATATATTCATATATTCATATATTCATATATTCATATATTCATATATTAATGTATATTAATATACTAATATTAATATGTTAATATCATATTATACTGTATACATGTGTTTATCTTTGCAAAATTTACTTTACGTACTATAGGGTCAGGAGGCTCAGAGGCCCAGGAGGACCCGTGAAAGGGCGCCAGAGGACCGAGAGACCGCGGGCCGAAAAAGCACAGGACCAGCAGACCACGAGACCAGCAGACCGGGAAACCAGCCGACCAGGGGACCAGCAGACCAGGAGACCAGGGGACCAGGAGACCAGGAGACCAGCAGACCAGGGGACCACGGGACCAGGAGACCACCAAAAAAAAAAATACAAAAAAAAAAAAAAAAAAAAAAAAAACAAAAAAATAGGCCCTCCATTTCCACCGAACCTTTTCTGCGGGATGTTCAGCCTTCAATCCTGACTGCAAAAGAACTTCAACTTTCAATCAACCCAAAACCATAAGCTCCGTGGGAGAATACTCTCTATGTATATGTGTATGTACCTACAACTACATACACACATACATACACATACCCATACCCATAGACGTGAACATAAACAGAGGCATAAACCTACATACTTATACATACTAGACAGACAACTTGTACATACTACAGAGACAGATATGATGTTGAGCTGCACCCGCCGCACGTCTTAGAAAGCACTAAGAGCAAGGTATGAATGTCGAGGCATCACAAACCGGATCAAGTTGGCTGACCTCACCAAAATGCTGACCGATGCTGACCGGAAGCGCGGCAATGACAGACTCTGCACCTGGTAATTCCACCTCCCGGCACCAGACGCTGAATCCTGCGCAACTCTCGGACGACTCAGGAAATTGCACGGCACCTGCAGCATGCCATGGCAAGCGACAGTCAAGTATTAGGCCGCCGGCGTAGCAATCGGGCAAGATGTCATCATCCCCCCTGGCAACATACACTTTTGACAGAGTGTTGAACGGCTTGCAAGTTCAGCTGGAGTCCAGGCAGGCTGCGCTATAGGCTACAGCACCCAACATCCTCGCTGAAAGTCAAGCGAAACAGCGCCGGGCACACAGCTTGTCCGGAACGCGTGCTGGCAGCACGACCTTCCCAAGGCAGGCTCCCCCGCACGCCGCCCCGCACAAAGAGTTGCTGCAGTCTTGCCCGGTTGATGCATGCTTAAGGCCGAAACCCCTTCGGCTCCACCTCCTGCGAAGAAGCTTCGTACCACGTGAATGAAAGTATTTGTGGATTCATTTCTGGCAAGCGCCTATGAACATGCAAACGGAACGGCAGACAGAGACTTAGAGCTTCAATCGCGTCTGACTGCCGAAGATCATGCTAAACATTGCCAAACCAAAAAAAGGGCCTTGGGCCCGCAAGCGAATCGTGGCCGGAGGCCACACAACGCCTGCGCCACAACATGCAAACAACAAGGGTCAATTGCCTCAGACTCAAAATTTGAGCTGCGCAAAACTGGGATGCCGGCCAACTTGGTACGAATAGAAATGGAAAAGGCTGGTCTCCAAAACCTGTGGGGGGAATGTAAACCCTAACTCTCACAAGGCGTTCACCTCGTGCTACGTTTTGTTGCCCGCGTCACACCGTCACACACCTCGTTTTGGCGAACAAACCGGCACTTGCTGCGAAGCGGAACCACCTGCGCGCAACGAGATGTTTTAGCAAGCCGGCTACTGTCGAAAGCACAAGGATTGAGACAGCTCCCCGTCGCACCAACACGTGGCCATCTTCCAGCACTTCCGGAGGCCCTCCTCATGGGATGTGTTCTCCAAGAAACTTCAATACACAAAACGAAAGAAAACTGCACGACACGACTTGGCACTTGCCCACTCGGATCTCTCTGATTTCCCTGTACATCGATAGGCCCCACAAGGCCCACAAGGCCCACGCCCAGTCGTAGGATGTTAGCCAAGTCAGGAAAACCATCAGGACCCAACCTTGAGCCACAGCCACTCCGCTGGCATGTCGTTGAAACGGTTGTCTAGTGGCATCTACCGAGTCGTCATGCGCGAAAACATGTTCTAAGGAAACTGTCGGCAAAAACCACATTCCAAGGGGACGGCTTGCACAGACCTGTGCCGTTCTGAGACCTCCCAAGCGGTGCACTGCATGAATTTTATGGCCGCCCTGCCCCCCCCCCCCCCCCCCCCCCCCCCCCCCCCCCCCCCCCCTCCCGTGCTCTGTTTCGTCTTGACTCTTGCTTGTGCACGAAACTATGCGATTGCCTAGTCCCTACTCCAATCCAAACACACTATAGTTAACGCACCAACTCCAAGAAAGAAAACCACCAGCGGCCTATCCCGTGCAAGGACACAAACTTGTCCAGCTTTCCCCTGGCACCTCAGTGCGTCGGTTGCGGGCCCTAGACTTGCTGAAGTTGTTTGCGCGTGCCGGCTGTCTTGATTTCGGTGCCTTTTCCCTTCCTTCTGCGCATATGCATGTACCCCACGGGTAGTTCTGCATCCTCCCTCAAGGATTTGAGATGCACGAAACCTTCGTCCTTCAAGTGCTGTTGGGAGCAGGCCCACGGGCCTAGGCTCGGCGCTCCTAAGCGCCGGCGTGTCCAGGCTGAAACCGTCGCTGTTCGAGCAACGACGCAACGCAAGCTCGAGTGCAGAATGTGCGTTCTCTTCGGGCTTGCGCAACAACTCGGCACGAGCAGCTCCTATCACGCGTTGCGCGGCCCGCCTCTCCCCAATGATGTTTGCGTCGTTCATTATCAGCTCGAAACGATGCGGTGTCCGGATGTAGTCAAGAGACTGCGAGCGGCCCTCCATCAGGACGGACATGCCAGCTGCTTGCATTATCTGGGCTGCGTTCGCAGCAAAGTTCACTACCTCACCCTGGGTCTTCGCGGCCACAGTGGGGACGAAGCGTCCAATCTCTGGCTCTTTGAGCAGCGTGTTGGCTATTTCTGAGACCAGCACATCATCGTTACCCAATCCGCTAACTTTGATGTCAAAGTCCTCCCGGAATTTCCCAAACTCCAGCCGTGACATCAGCATCTGGAGCAGCTCATGGGTCAGCTGTGCCCCAAGTTCTTTGTGGCTTTTCTGGCAGTGGTGCAGAGCCAGCAGTGTCAGGGCACGAAAGACGTTGCCATTGGACCAACGCGCAGACCTGGGTAGGACAGCCTGAAGATACTTGGCAAGGGTGCTCTTTCCGGTGCCGCTTCTGCCTTGCAGAACAAGTACACACCCACTCTCAGGAGCATCTCCAAGTTTGCGCCTGATTTCACCAGCAATGGCGCCTATTGACTTGCCTTCGGTCTGGATTCGGCAAACAGGTTCTACTTGCGGGCGTTCCTCCAGCACGCCCCTTGCCACCGCCTCAGCCACACCTGTGGCCAATTTCTCTTGGTCCTCCTTGTCCCGGAGTAGGGCCGCCTCCGCCTCTGCGCGCGCGAGGAGCTGGAAGCCCGGCAAAGCCTTGCAAGGCGCCGTGCTGCGCGCGCAAAAGTGCCCTTTGCAAGTTGCTGTAGGTGCAAAGACTCAGAAAATTTGGTCAGTGTTCTCTTGCAATGCCAAGTTCCTGCAAAGAATCAATCACCAGGTTCGAAGTCTCATCGGAGCCTTCGACCAACAGTTCGGCGGTCAGGGCCTCAAACAATGCTGCTTTGATCTGGCAGTTTGATTCGGAATGAGGATCGGAAGCTCAATACGGCAGGAAAGGCGCCACAAGCCTTTCTATCACAATGATGGCAAAACCCCAGCAACAGCACCCAGGCCACCTTAGTCTGAGAGTTTGCTCGCAGCGTAGTCGAGGCATTTGCAACGCGCCGGCTGTGCCGAGGCCAACCTCAGAGAGTCTTGGAAGCAGGGACGCAACTGCCGCAAGAAGTATCACGAGGTCTTTGCGAACCCACATCAAGAGACATGGCTCAACATTTGGCTCAGCGGCTCGAAGCGTTCCAGTTCGACACGGGCACTGGGCGCCATCGTTCCGGGGGCGCCTCAGCGCAATCTCCGCATTCCGAATCCCGCCCCGCGCCCCCCACCCCCCCCCCCCCCCCCCCCCGCCACAAGAAAGAGGTATGCAGCGATATGCAAGCCCAATCTGTTGAAGAAATGGCACCTCGGAAAGACAGCAGCGGCCCCAGGAGCTGCAGCTGCCATGGATCTTCACCTGACACAACGCCACGAGACGCCAGGAGTCCCAAGGCCAAAGGCTATCTGCTGCTGACCGTATGCCTGCGTCATGCCTCAGAACCCTTGAAAAAACTACTCGGTTCCCTGATGCTGCAGACTGGCTGTATGCAGTGGTACGACAAGGTTGACTCGAAAGCTTTGCTGCCATGCAGCACGACCTACGGCAACCCGTCTCGGCAGCATTGCTGCGGCTCGCCAGATATCCGAAATCAGCTATGATCCAAGCGATCGGCTCATAAGTCTACGATGTGTAGCATTCATCGGAACATGCTGGCTACGCGAAGTGTAGGCTACGAGCTGGTTTGAGATCTGGTCTGAAGCAAAACCGCGCTGGTCTGGGCCGGGGGTGGCGACGGGCATCTCAGCAGACTCTCCTTGTGCTCCCTTGTACTCCCTCTTGGCTCAGGACTTGCCGTTGCTTGGGATTCGTCCGACCGAGAACTCCACGTGAATGGAGGAGACGCCTCAGCTTGCAGCCAAGCCCTTCAACTGGAGCCCACGTGCTATAGAACCAGGAAGATATCCGAGACCTGTGGAAGTGCAGCTTCGCACTGGCGGAGGTGCGTAACATGCTCCCTTCGGTATGGCAGTTTTGCAACCCCTGTTATCTCGGGACGCGCGGGGTTCACCTGCAGGCGCTGGGTACCTTGATCCTTTTGATCATGCGAATTCGGCCTGAGCCTGCGCTTGAGACGAACTTCGAGCATTCTAGCGTGATCTACGAATCCTGCGTGCGAGAAGTGCTTCCCATCTTCCCGGGCTCACTTGGTAAAGCACAAACCCCCTCAGAGAAATCTTCCAAATTTACCATGCGCAAGCCAGCTTCAGAGTACTTTTCAGCTGAGACTCACTTCAGCTGCAGGCTGCAGGCAGACACTTGGGGTGAGAACAGGTTCAATGGGAGCACGTGACTACGTAGCAGATGGAGCCGCGGAATCTTTGGATTCGGCCGCCTCAGGCCCTGCTGCCTCCTCCAGAGATGCGATGGCATCGTCCTGCGACAGGTGTCGGGTGCTGTGATGTGCAACATCATGGGCATGGCATGGCAACGAATGGTGTGAACAGGCCTCGCGCTGCTGCTGAACCTGTTTTCGTCGCCGCTGCTGCCTTCGCATCTCGTCAAGCTCCCGCTGATACCTGCACCGACCACGACTACGAGCTCAGTGTTCTGAAGAGTTCGCAGCTTATGATCCAAGGAACGGGTGTTTGTCCAACTCCAGGAACTCTACCAGGACCTGCATCGCAAGAATCACGGCACTGAAAAACACATGTCCCAGATAGGCTATTGGTACCGAAAGATGTTTGCCCCTCGGCCTCCCCAACGAAGCTCATGTTGTCAAACACACCTTGGGATGATCTGCCAATCGTCGCAGCTTTTTGAAAGAGTTCTGCTGGTGTACCCGCAGACTACAGTTGCTGAGGTGGCCCTTGTGCGGCACGGGAAAGTTCAGAACATCAGGGCTTCGGAATTGTCCAATTTCAAGGCACACTGATATGAGTTCGGGAGGCTTGGATTCAGGGAAGGTCGTGGTTCCTCCCCTTCCTGCTGCTTCCCATTGTCCAGTTGAAGCGGTTGCAAGATCTGTCCAGTGGATTCCTTCCCTGCACTGCACGAGAGGCACAAAAGAAGCACTTCGTTGCTTCTCAGGATTGCTTGTGGGGTTTCCGAAAAAGGCCTACCAAGGCAGCTGACATGGACTTGAAGTGCGGAGGCAGTTGGGATGGCATCTGAAAGCCGAGGACCCGAGGCACTCCAACTTCAACTGCCTGTGTTACCTAGAGCCCCGATTGTAGTCCCAGGCTGTTGCTACGATAGTTTGTTTTCTTATGCCTTTTGCTTAGTACCCAGAAATTCAAACTACGTCAGCTACTATTGGGGGTGTAGGCTCAGGCAACTACCAAGTTCAGGCGCCGCAATCCGGCACGATGCTTTACTTCCCATCAAGACCGCATACCACAGCTGCAATCCAGGTGCGGTAGCCGACGTTGCCAAAGAAGCTCGCAATTTTTCGGCCAATGCCCTTGGGCTCCTGACTCGCACATGTGGGCACAGTCCCCAATGCCAAATCATGCCTGGCGAATGTCCCTCTTGTGTGTGTTGGTTGATATGTAACGGAGGAGAGGAAAGTGCCACAAACATGTAACACCCTGGAATCCCTGGGAGTCATTGCTTCTTTCTCATCTGACAGCATTCGCCCTTCACCTACGTCCTTACGATATTTCCCGGAACCATCACACATAGCAAGAGGCCAACAGAGAACAAACCGTGGCAGCAGCAAATCGGGCCTCATCCTGTGCCTGAGGCTCAGGGCTCGAAACCTGGCCGAGGCCACTTGGCATGAGATCCCTCAGGTGTGTTCTTGCTGTGCGCTCACTGCAAGGCGAAATCGTGTTCAACCACAGCTCCCAAGTTGAGTTTTTGTTTGTTACACGCCTAGGGCTTTAAGGTTTGTACGCTTGCACACGGCTGGCAAGGTGTCTGTCCGAAGGGTCTGGCTTAGCGGTTTCGCTTTTGGGGCTGTTGTTGTTCCAGCTTGTGTATCTTGTCTACGAGATTTGCAGACTGCGCCTTGCCTCAAACACAAAATTCAGAGAGCGGGCCCACAAAGGTCCACAACAAGCAACAGACCTGAACACGGCATTCAATGAGAGAAACACTCTCAGCATCTGCGCCTCCGTTGCCTGTACTTCTTCGGTTTACATTCTTGCGCGCAGGCTGCCGAACACAGACAGGCGCAAAGGCGCAGCAACGCAGCTGTCTTTGGAGGAATGAGGAGACACGGAGGCAATCACACAGTCAAGTCTGCGTCAGCCCATGGGCTCATGTCGTTGCATTGCGTTGGCGGCTTCCTTGTGGAACTTGCCTTGTCTGCTTCACCAAGCCATGTAGCAATCCTTGCCATGAACAACACGCCTCCCGCCCCCCATTGAACAGAAGTCCCTTTCGGAGCACACCTTCACACCCCGGAATTCGGCCCATTGCTCTCTTCCTGTGCTGAAGCCATAACCCTGTGACGGAACTGAGGACGGGCACGTAATTTCCGCCACTTGCGGATGTGCCCCAGTATCTTGGGACAACAGGAACGCCGTTGAGAACCCAGTCTTCGCACTGCAGCATCGACAACTGTGGCACAGTTCGGCCACCAACTTCCACAAACACCCTGGAGACTGGTACCAAACAGACTTCCCATACACTTCTTGAGTAGAACGCCCCCCGCCAGCCCTGCAAATCTCCCGAGCCCCACCTCCAGGGGTGGCGGCTGCACCACCATGCCAGAGCCAGATGGCCTCATAAAACCAGCAGCCGTTGCCTTTTCAAGCCGTGTGATCTCCAACATCCTTAAAAAGTCTGAGCTGGTCACTCCGAGGCCGACTCCGGGGCCGACATCTCCGCAGATTTCCTACAAAAAAGCCTTTTGGAGCCTTTTGGAGCCTTCCGGCTGCAGAGAGGTGCAAAAAACTGCACTTGCGCTGTGTCTTGTAAGATTCCGGCCTCCCTTGAAGCAGCTCTTGGCCCCGGGCTCGACTCATTTACCACTATGGCACTTTTTGGGGCGCGGCCCAAGAAAGCTACCTGCCATGGGATCAGACTCAAGGCATTCTGCTCCCTGTGTGCTATGAAGCTGCGCCCACCAAAGCCACAAAAGCAACTTCGCCACAAGCAGCTCGCAAGAATCTTCCGACCCTTGGAAGTCTCCGCCCCTTTGCTAGACTGCTGGCACTTTCGGCCAACGGCCTCTGCCGCGTGCAGCGTAACCTGCTCCAAGGGCAATCCAAGGAAAGCAGCCCGATACCCGCGGCTACGAAGACTGCAGGAGAGCAGACTTCCAACAACCTGCAACGAAGGAAAGAGGTGGAGAGTTACACCCGGCCAGGCTTTTGGCTTCTCTTTGTTCTTTGCCTCGTGGGCCGCTCCTCCGCGCTGGACAAGGGCAAAGCGCAGGGGCTGAGCACCTGCATAAAGGATTCATGGTTGCACATGGTTGCACACGCTTGCACATGGTTGCACATGGTTGCACATGGTTACACTTCGCGGCTCTCCTCCCTGCCGTCCTGAAGGGCCTCCAGTCTCGTCCAGCATTCCGTGTCCATTGCTCTGGCGGTTCTTGTCAACAAGTTGCCATATTCCTATGGTTCCTGCGCCTGGCAATGTTTGCAATGAGAGCTTGGGTCGTTGCTCATTTCACGCTGAAGCTGTTGCCTTACAAGCAATGACAATGAAATACGTCCCGCATCATACCATTTACCATGTTCTGCAGAGGCACCAACATGTCATGGGTGTAGTATCAGGCCGGCCCATGTGCAGGCACAATCGTGTAGCTTGCTTTTTAATGGGTTGAGTGCCTCTTCCCTGAATCAGCTCCAGAACAACGGCGTTGCACCATGCTGGAAACATCCGATCACCGGCTTACAGACGGCGGGGCTGCAGAAGACAACTTGAAGACAACAGACGACCCGCACGCCCACATTATATTCGGCTTTGTCTTTCACGCCCGAAAATGTGGTACAAGCAATTCTCGGAGGCAGTCTAGGTTGGAGGTACGCACACCTCCTCCGGATGTTTGCGAAGAGGTAAGAAGAAGCTGACTGAGTCTTCGTGTTGGAGCCTAGGTCCAGTTCTAGACACAGTGGAAGCAACAGGGGCAGCAGCTTCTTAAACATAACGGCACAAGCTGTTCCGAAATAACCTTGAGTCCCCTGGGCCCTCCAAGCCCAAAGAAACACGCACACGCTCGTCATGCCCAGCACCGACTGCACGTGCGGATGGCGACGTGCAGATGGGAGCCAGAGCACACAAAACATCTGCCATGCCGCAAGTCTACACATATCTACACATATCGACGCTGACTAAGAAGCTCGGGCTCCTCTGGCAACAAGTTCTCCTCTTCTCAGGTTCACAACCACAGGACTTGGCAGCACCTCGCATGACAGCACAGAGAAGCACACAGATGCTGCTTCGACACGGCACTAGACTTCCTAAGCCACTCATCAAATATGTCCCGGGCCTTGTGAGCCAGGCAGCATCATTCCTCCTGTTGCAGCAGTGCGCTTTGTCTGCTGCAAAATGCCACAGCCCAGCAAGAAGTGCCCTGTGCGCAGCTATGCACAAACTGTGAAACGCAACACGCAACTCTTACATTCCCCTGGCAAGCGTCTATATCCGTTAGAGCCCCGGTCGAGCCCTTAATAGGGTCCTTGACAACTCCGATCTTGCAGCCGCCAGGCAAGTCCGAAGCACTGAGTGTCGACACCTGAACGTGGGGGACCCTGTAAGCTGTTGGTCCTGTTGGTTGATCCTCACTCCTAGGGAGGTCCGGCTGCGATGACTGGCAAGTCTTGGATATAACGGGCAGCGTTATGTACGCATCCGATAGGCGTTGGGCTGTTGCACTTTCTGCCAATCTCAAATGCCGCACTTTGGGAAGGTTGCGAAAAGCGGCACCTTACCTTGGTGGGAGGTTGGTTGGGTTGTAGTTCTTGGGTGAGCCGATGGCACAATCGAAACTGCGAAACATGGTTCGCATAGGTCTTGGGAAGACTTTGTTCACGAGATGTTGGGCTAAAGCCGGCATAGGGTTCAGCTCAACACCTGAAGTGCAGTCATTGCATGTCATGGAGCTGCCATCGCATCTGTGCATGTGTGTTTTCCTCCGCCGCCTCCTTTGATTCCACACCGCGCTAATGGCAGATGATGCTGTGCTTGCAGGATTCCTGGCCTCTTTGAAATCAAGCCTGCCATCCAATCACACCATAGCTACCAGACTCAAAATGCCACTATGCACACAAGACTGCTTGCTACAAGTAGGGGCAGTTCAAGGAAGCAAACATCTGGCAAGTTGATTGACAGCTACTGTTGAAGCTGGGCATGGCCCATCTCCAAGAGCGACCGTTTCTCATCAAGTCTTGCTGGAAGCGCTGTCCGGATAGGCCGCAGCGTTCGTACGACCACCGTTGGAAGCGACTACACGCCCAGTGTCCGCGCTGACAGCTGCAGCGCAGTTCATGACGTCTCCAGAGACGTCTGTGCGCACATCTCCGGGTGACAGGCGAGTTCTGGCCGAAGCTCTTTACACCCTGGCCATTGGTCTCTGCTATGTTGCAAGGAGTGCTGGCATAGGCCTGTAGAAGCATGAGCTGCTGCTTCAGCTTTCTGAAGTTCCTGCTCTCGTGAACACTGTTTCCCCAGCACTCATCAAGATCTGGCAGCCACATGGCAGTCAAGATGGGAATGGAAGATCACGCGTGTCTGCATTGAGACGAGTAGCCGTGCGAAAAGAAAAGCACCCCTGCGCCCCGGTGCTGCTTATTCTGATTCCGCCCTCAGTCCCTGCAACCCTCTGCCACTTTACCTTAGAGGCGCAACGTGCACAGACTTTCGCATTGCTTGGTGCATCCTTGCAATGTGATTGTTCATTCAAGCTCCTTGAAGGCTTCGCCACAAACTCACCGACACAAAGGCTTCTAAGCTGCCTTCTAACCTGCCTTCTGACCTACCTTCTTACCTACCTTCTAACCTACTTGAGGTTTCAGATGACTTCTTGAAGACGAGAGCCTCTCAACTTTACAGACTGCCCTCAGCTTGGCCAAAAGACGTTGGATGCTCGTAAAAATTCCGAAGGCCTGCAAGGTGGGCGGCACCTTCCATCTGCTTTTGACACGAGTCTTTACCTATCACATGCCACCATCCTCGCTACCATCCTGCGGATCATTGAAAACGTCAGGAACAAGAGCTAGGACTTGTGGAGCGTGTCCAGCAAGTTGCCCTTTTATGGAATGCGCCAATGGCCATGGAGCTGCATGTGCTGCAACATCGTCATACTTCCAAGCAGCATTCTGGGATGCATCGGGAGAAGGGGTCGATTGCTGCACGCCTGACCTCTGGCCAGGCATGGCAGGTGTAACCAGGGACAAGTCACCAAATGGCTAATTAGTTGTCACAGTCTAACAATTCCAACATGACTGCCCTGATGCTCTCTGGGATTCTGCCCTGAGGGCACAGTGCCCAGCTCAAGTCTGAAAAACCGTGCGGTAGGATTTGATAGGCCTGATAGGCTTTGCTTGCGCTCTGCGACAAAGCGAGAAACTACGAAAGTACGGGCGTCAGCAATGGCCATCAGAGCTGCTCGCCTGTCTCAATCGGCGATCGGGACAAGGACATGAGAATAAACTACACATCATCGAACTTCATCGAACGACAAAGCAGTGATGATTGTCCCTAGCGCCTAGCATCCCATCCCCATGTCGCACACCAGAAAGCAACTCACCTCACGATGCCTCTTCACACGTAGGCCTTCCTTCCGGATCCTTCCAGGCCTTGTGGTCAATGGTCACGAATTGGGGAACCCGGCATGTCGGATCCCAAGCCTGAAAGGTCGCAGAAGGAGTCGGAAACTTGAGGGAGAACCCGAATCCAGTGAAAGTAGACTCAAGCCTAGCTCCTATAGCTTTCGTGATCTGCGAATATCTGCGACCCAAACGCCTGCGAATACCCCACCATATACCACCAAGTTGCTAAGGCTGCTCGGCCCACAGCTGAGCATATCATCGAGCCTTTTGGCGTAGCATCCGTGTCGTGCAAATGGGCCAAATGGGAACCGATGCAGCTTCGCTACGTCCTTGGGGTCTCCGCAGAGGACGCGGCGCCTGGCGACGCGCTTGGCTTTGCTTCGGCTTTGGTGCAAGCTGGGTGCCTTCAAGTGACCAGGCAAGTGCCAGTCAAGTATGCAACTGCCCATGCACTCCCATGCCTAGCCCCGCTCGAAAGAAGCGCAGCGCCTGAACTTCGGGCAGCCAGGACTTCCAGGGCTGCCGTGAGAAGCCTTCAAAACAAGAAATGACAGCACTTCCACTTGGAGCTGCAGGCTCAGATTTTCCCCCCCCCCCCCCGGAACTTTGTTTCAACCTGTCAGGAACAAGACCCTGAACATGGCACCTCTGCTGCATCATCTGGGGTGGATCGCACTGAGGACTAGGAGGCCTCATGGTTGCTGTCACATCTCATTTCCAGTCCTTTGGGGATTTCGGGGTGCACTGGCCGCTGGCCACTGCCAGCGGTGACTACGCAGTTGCATGTGCAAGAAAAACACGGCATGCTTCAACATGCCTCATCCACACATTCCGATTCGGCCAACCGAGTTAAGCTCCAAATTGCTGTAAGTGGCAGGCTAACTCTAAGCATGAGGGCAGGGCTCACCAAACTGCGAATGCCCAATTTCAGGACCTGCGCCGCAGTCGCTTGCCTACGTGGCATCCTAGCTACTGATCAGCACATGCAACACAATGATGCTGCCTGTTCGCCCAGACAGCGCTGACATGAGCTGCTGCTGAGTTTGCAGCCTTAGCTGGCTCTGCGTCGTGCTGACAGATTTGCTTTCGACATCCCCAATACCATAATAAAATCCCAGCGTGCCCTTCGCATCTCTCCACACATGGGGGAGAAAAGGCTTGAAACAGCTCTGTTCCCACGCCCGCAATAACATGACACATCATGATGACACCTTTTCCGCACGCGTACGATGTGGTCCCGAGCATGTCAAGCAGAAAGCCGAGCGTGTAGTTGTGCTCCACAGGCTTGAGGCGAACTTGCATGTGACCACACAGTCATCCTCTCACTCGGTGTCGGAAGCATCGTTTGTGACGCCTGGTACAAGGTCGCTTGGCAGGCTTCTGGCGCCAGCGGCAAGATGTGCATTTCCTGCCGTTCTTGCTTCAAGCCGTCGGACTCATAGCACCTTCTGCAGAGCGTCCAGCAGGAAATGCTGCTCCTGCAGCTTTGTGTCGCAGTAGCTTCAGGAAACCGTGCCTAACTCCAAGAACCTGCAATTTCACCAACCCATGTCCGGAATGGGCAGCGACTGCAGCAGATCAGCTGTGCCACATCGCAGGAAGGCAATGTATTCATCACCTAACTCGTCCTGGCCGGGATGAAAACTAGCCAAACGTTAGCCTCATGCCTGTATCACCCGTCAGCAGACAAGCAAAATCAATCTGGCGTCCCTGCCCAAACAGCTACGCAACAAAGTGGCTTGCGGCAACTTGCAAGCTCACCTGCAGAAGCGCGAGCTGCTCGGCTGGCAAGCTACCTCAATCACAACCCGAAAAAGCCAAGAAAATGCTCAGCCACATCAAGCTTCGCGAGTCTCTGAAGTCTCTTAAAGCTTCTTTGAGCTGGCCAGCTGCAGGCAAGCTTGCGCAGCTCCTCCGTATCTGCCCGGTCAAACCCGACCTTCGAGAGCAGATTCTGGCGCAAAAAACACACACACACACACACACACACACACACCACAGACACGGACGCGAACACACAGACACATCCCACAGACACGGACACGCACACATGGACACGGACACGAACACACAGACACAGACACGGATACGAAATGACACGAACATACAGATACAGACACAGACACGGACACCGAACACGCAGACACACACGCAGACATAGCCACAGCCACAGCCACAGACACGGACACAGACACAGAAACCGACACATACACGGACACAGACACAGACAAAGGCACAGGCACAGACACAGACACAGACACACAAAAAAGCAACATAAATAAATACATAAACAAACAAGTGAATAAACAAACACAAAAAACAAGAAGTGGAGTTTCGGGGAAGGAAGGAAGGAAGGAAGGAAGGAAGGAAGGAAGGAAGGAAGGAAGGAAGGAAGGAAGGAAGGGGGGGTGGGGAAACTTGTTGTCTTTCGAGTTGCCCTTAAAGCCAAGCCGGGGCCTCCTCGGTGTGGTAGTGGTGCGACAGCTTCGAGGGACCCGAGATCACCGTCACATCATCCAGCGGCCGCAAGGCGTGCCACCACCCGTGCGGAATGAAGATGAACCTCATGTGCATGCTTGGGTATTGCAGGTATACTTGTAGAAAACCTCTTCAACCTCGAACAACCTCATGCCTAAGGCGCGCGCATGCCAGGGGTGATGTCCATGGCCCCGCCGGAAACATCTGATCTCTGGGCGTGATCCTGCGACCCAGGGCATCGTCCAGTTCTTCACAGCAATGATCTGTTGCAGAATGCCGGCATGGCAACACGGCCAAAAAGCAGCCCCCCCTCCCAAACACAAACTAAAACAACAAAGAATAGAACAAGACGAATCAGCTGCAGCCGCATGGGCGCCAGCTGAGGGAGTACGGGACCAAACGCCTGGTTCCTTACCATAAGCAAGCTCCGCCACGAAGAGGTCCAATTGTAAACGGGGAAAGGGGCGGGGGGGGGGGGGGGTTTCACCACGAAGAGGCCCATTGTAACCCAAGGGGGGTGCCCCCGAACACCAGCTCTGTCACTCTGTGGCCCTTCCCTGCCGCTGCTCCCCTCGTCGGACCCAGCACAACTGCCATCCTCAGCGACGCCCTTGGGGTCGCAGCAAAGTCCCCGCAAGGAAGAGCCAACCAACCACCACTACCCCAAAAAAATATGCGTGGCATGCAGTTGAAGTCCTCCATTGCCTGCCATGCTTCTTCGCTTGGCATCTCCCTGCAGCGCGAGAACCCGCGAAGAGTGTCCGAAAGCTTCTGCAAGAGTGCACAATGACTAACAATCGCGCAGATCATGTACGCTAGATTCGGCGAGATGGTTCTAGGATTCTGTGGGCGCAGAACCCTCTAAGACACTTTGCGTCCTTGGCGGCCTTAGCGGCCGGAGCCATCCCACGTCTAGCGCTGGCCGCGAGCTGTCCCCTGGACGTGGTTTCACCTCGTCTGGCGCGAGCCTCAGAGGCCCCGGACAAAACCGGTTGCCACTAAGCCTTAAAATGCTTTAAAGCCTTAAAGCCTTAGGCTTCTGCCCGAATGCAACATATGTGAGCATCCGGGCAAAAGCATCGAAAAGCATCGTCAAGCTGAAGCTTAGTGGCAGAATGATTCCTCAGCTGGGGGAAACCAAGCTGAAACAAGATCCCATGTCTGTCTCACCGGTCACGAAAAAACTGCAACGGTCGCAACTCTTGCAGCTGCAGGCGCGTTTTCGGCCAACGCAGCCCGCAATGCAGGTGTCCACAAGACGAGTATCCAGCCAATCTCGGTGCAAGTTCTGCAACGCGTGGCTCCCCTCCTGAGCGAAACATGCAAGCCGAATGCCTGCGCGAAGCTTGCAAAAGCTGTCACCAGTGGCTTTCGACACAACCGCACCCTTGGCTTGCTGCAACACGCGCTTCTTGATGTGTTTTTTTCTCTGCGTGTCAAGGGCTGATCTCCCAACCCGAGTCTCGTCTGAGGTCTGTTTCAGGGACCGCTTTTTGGATCGCTGAAAACTTTGGCGCTATAGCTACCACACTGAAAGGGCATCAGACCCGCTGCCATCACTCAAGGCCTGCATGAGAAGCGGACAGGGCCTTGTAAAACATCCCATTTATGCTCTCCATGCTTCAGGCCTGAGACTGCGGGAGGTGGCAGCCAAAGCAATGCCCAGCGACGAGTGGATGCGGAGGAATCCCTCACATCAGCCTGGGGCACAGGGCCACTATGGCCGTTGACATGTTCCAGTGGTGTAACCCGGCAAGCAAGCGAAGGCATGCCAGAAAGCACGGCGACTGAGTGACGGAGTGAATTGGGACTAGTCGGGTTTGCTTCCTCCGATTCACCCCGTCTGTCTCACGTGTAAAGTGGTTTTGCGGTCCACGGTCCAAACCCGGAACTCCTCTCTGCAGCTCTCCGACAGGCCTGAAGCGCTTGGATCTCTGCTTTACGTTGCTCGGCATGACGGCCTCAAAGAAGGATGCCGGCACACGACATGCTCTTGTACTGAACAAGACGCTCATTCTTGTCCCTTCCTGCCTTCGGCCAGCATCTGCGCAAAGCCCTCCGAGACCCAGGACCTCCAGGTCTCCGCACGCTGCCCAGCAGTCTTGTACTTCTCCGCGTGGTCCATTGCCGTGCGGAAGAGACCTTGCAGAGCTACCAGTGCCGAGTAACCCGAGCATGAGAGAAGCTGCAACATGTGCTCAACAAAGCTCGGGCGCGCCTTCCGCCGTGATGGCATCACCCTTTTGGTTCGTCACGGCCGCGAGAGCTGTTAGAGCTCGAAAGACCTCAAGCACGACCGTGTCAGGACTGGAGGGGGATTCTTGAAAGCTCTTACTCTGCAAAGTGACGAAAGGCCGCAATGTTGGATCATTCGGCTGGAGAGCTTCGAATTCCGACAAGGCGTTGACCTGGGCTTTGTGTGACAAGTTCCAACCCTTCAGGCTGTTGATCTACACCCCTAGAATTGGCTCCTACACCGGTCCTACACCTGCTCCTTGTCCAGACACAAGGGCTTGCCGCACCCAGTCTTCGTCAACACCTACACACTCGGCAACACAGCAAAGGCACGGCAAGCCGAGAATTTTGCGGATCCCGTTCGAAAGAAGCCCTCCGCGCCTCCACGCGCTGCCAGCTCACCCAGAGTGCAGCGCAAGGCCAGGGAGTTTTGAGGCGAAATCTCCATGCCCTCCTTGCCCTCCTCAAGGCCGACAACGTGCGCCAGGGGCGAGCCCATCAACTTGGCAGCGGTGGGAAAAGCGTCACCTCCAAGTGATTACAGTCGACAAGATAGTGCTAGTGCCAATATATCTAATTCGCCTGGGAGAAATTAGCAATTTTGACCCCCCCCCCCCTCCTCCCCCCCCTGTTCCGTTGGGTTCACGCTCTATGTCATGACCTCATCACTAGTCATCAGCATCGTTCATTATCAAGCAGGAATATCGAATCAGCCAGTCACTCAACCCTGACCTTCCCAACACGTCGACCAACAGCAAGATGTCTCGCAGCAAGCGGTCCAGGTCACCCACTCTCGACTCTACACTACATACTCCACCGCGTACCACCATCATCTCATCTGAGTTCCGTTGGGGTGTGGCAGCAATATATGCATATGATAGACAAGAATGTATTGGCAAAATTTCGTGTGGTTGAACAAAAAATTGGATTAGAAACGGATAGAAATGCACTGCATAGACTGTTTGGAGAGTACTCTGTACTCAGAGGTGTCGGGCTGCCAAATTAGCATCAGACTGTCCTTGCCTTCAGAGCCCATAGCCTCGCCAACGAGCATGTTGAGGTGGGCGATACACTTGGCCTCAAAGGTGGGCAGATCGTCTATCCTGATGGCCTGTCCAAGGGCATGCTGCAACTTCGGGGTTCGGGACTGGGACGAAACCTAGTGGAGGCCCTGATGGGGCGTCTTGCGCGACGGATGCTTCTGTTGTGCTTGCATCAAGTGGGCACAGGGAGGAATTGAGGGTGCCCTTGCACGTGTTCCGCACCACTTTCTCCATGCTGGAACGTGATTTGGAACATGTGCCCTTAGCAAAATCCCATACTCATTGCACAGACGGTACAATTGGATGTTGAACGCGGGTACTGTGCTAGGCTCTGCTTCCGCACCCTCACTTGGTTGCACTGACGGTATGCCAGGGTGTATATACAACATGACAGAGAGTCACTCAAAAAAGGGCCCATACTTGAGCCGCCCTTTCAGCCGTCAGGTCTTCAAGCTGCAAGGGTCATCTACATGTAAAGGGTTCGAGATGCGCAGCGCCGGTCCCGAATCTTTGCCAACGCTGGTGTGGCGGCTCAGGGTTTCGAGGGTTCAATACATCTAGCCAGCCGTACACATCAACTGAACTGTTCCCCAACTATCCATAGCCGGGGAACGAGACGACTACAAAGTCAGTTCGTCCAGGGTCTCGAGAATTCTGGGTGTGGCGGTGGTCTCTCAGAGCGCAGATTCAAGGCCCACTGGAACGCACAAGACGGGTAATTTCCTGTCCGCTTTCCAGCTCCAGGAACAACGACGAAACCGTGTCAGTGTTCGGGATTGAAAAGTGGGGCTGATGGATGCTGGAAGCCACTGGAAGCCGGACGCGATGGATCAGGAATGGCCACATCACACCAGGCACAGTGGGGTCTGCACAGCAACCAAAACGCTTAGATGCAGACCTGCACTCACAAGAGCGAAGTCTTTGGAGAAAAAGAACAAGAGCATCTGTTGGGGCTGGCTACACGCTAACGTCTGGACACCCCGCAGCCCAATCAGCGCCTCTCCATGCCCAGTGGCGACCTGCACGGCGCCCTGGATCAGGCGTGCATCTGTCCGCAAAGATGTTGAGGATTGGAGAGCAGCAGAAGCCAAAGCGGAAGCCTGGCAACAGAGAAATGGTGAGAGTGCCGAGACCGAGAATCGGCCTGAACTGCACCTGACTGAAGTCTGCCAGCTCGAAATAAACTCGTGCCGCGGCCTGCCATGAATTCGACACTGCAAGGCACTAGACCTAATTACACCAGACAGACAGAGGTAAGCATCTGGCAAGTTGCAGCTCCCCCAAGTCTTTGCTCGAAAAATGCTGCGCGGCTTCCTCGAACAGGCCTCGTCAATGCAACGACACTGTCTGCCCCCCACTACAAAGTAAAGCAGCCGCTGCAAGCTGATGGCCATGCTGGCCCTTCCCATGGACTCAGACCGACTCAGACCCATGCCCTGCATCCACAGGCAAGAGCCCAAGACAAGGTGGCATTTTGCGCGGTCTTCACCTATGCAGCATTCGTGTGTCAGCCCAGGTTCCAGCACAATGCTCTTGCTGTCTGCCTGCATCAGGTGGAAAGTACGCGTCGGCCACCTTGCAAGCAGTCGCCCCACGTCTGGAAGCAGGAAGCCCTTTTGAGGGAACTTTTCCAAAACAGCAAGTCAATTAAAGCTCCCAAGCGAGTCTTAAGATATTGTGCAGCAGAACGGCCTCGGCAGCCCGCCGCAACATGGGCAGTGCATCTGCATACCTGCAAATGAAAGCGATCTTGTCAACCAGTTTATGAGCTGCGCCACCTTGCAGTATGTGAGGTTGCACATGCACTTCGCAAACAAACAAAAGCTTCCGCTTGCACGCGGCGTTTCCACTTTGAAGCCAGCAACATCTCTCAGCTGAGGTGCCGGTGTGCATCCAGAGCCTGGGCGAAACATATTAAACATGATCTTCTGCAATGACTTCCTGGCACGCAAGCCCTCTCCCCGTCCAACCTGGCGATACTCAAATCCCAGTGACGCGGCGGCCCTCCTGGAAGTCTGGAAGCTGCGAAAGCAGCGATGAGAAGCGCACAGATGCCCCTTGGCTTTGGATAACGAGACAAAACCACCTGCACCACGATCTGCAGAGCAGTGCAGCAAACTTCTATGTCTTCTGCACTTTTGAAAAGCCACCCAGAGTTCTTTCAAGCTCAGGGCGGAAGCACAAATGCCGCGACGCCCGCGGCAGCAGCGCACGGACCATGGTCATGGACAAGCACGGATGGTCTTCAGGCGAAGCCCAGGCCAACGCAAGGGCTGTCCCGGCAGAGACTGAGTTGGCCGAGAGACTGTCGGATGATGTCGGATGATGCCGGAGGATGTTGGATGATGTCGAATGATGTCGGATGATGTCGGATGTCATGTGTTTCTGAAGCTGGCGTGTCCAAAGCTGAAGCCGAACATCGTATTTAGCAGGTTGGAGGAGAGTGCCATTGGTCGAGCAGCTTGAAAGCAGGACGCGAGCAGACATTGTAGATGTAGGTAGCCTGTGCAAACATTCAGAATTCTTGGATAGGCTTAGGCTTCAGCGCTGCATGCCCAGAGTACGACATGAGATGACAGAACGCACTGTGATCATGTTACATCGTGCCCGAACCATCTGACCTTCCGAGCATGCAAAACGAGATAGCGAGACACTATTACATATTGCAGGCTCTGCTTCAAGCTGCAAATTTGTTTCTCCCGCGCTAAGTCTGCTAGACCGGGGCCACGCCGCAGGCATCCTGACAAGAAATAGCAGCACATGCTGTTAACTGCCAAGCTCGAGCGAGCGTTCGGACCTGCTCTTTGCACAATATACCAGATATCTAGCTCGATCGTGGAGACAATGGAATGTAATGTCCTCCAGCAGGTCGTGCCACGGTTTGAGGTTCGCTGCCGGATAAGGACTGAGATCCATCTGTCCACGGCAATATGTGATACACCAAGCAAAGCTGTTGACAACCAGCACTGGTAGTAACTGGTAGTACTGGTAGCACTTCCAGCCCGGATACCCCTTTTGGACACCCCTTTTC